TAGAAATGGTAGGCATTCCAACAGCTAGCATAAAACACTTATATACACTGGTAAAAGTTAAAGATGGTAAGCCCAACGAGAAATTCATATCAAGTGTTGCAACTGCAACTGCTTGGTCTGATTCGAGAATAACAAAATTTGAGGAAAGACAAGAACATTGTAATGAGAAAAACAAATACGGGAAGTATAACAGTCATTATGAACAGAACAGATTGTGAAGAGACAAGTGAACACCTGTCCAAAAGACTATACCCTTTAATTGATGAGTGGAAAAGATTCTCCAAAATTAATAAAATTAAACTGAAAACTAATAACTTACTTCAAGAACTGAAACACAAAATCAGCAGCTCAATTCAGTTCAAACTCAAACCTAAGTTTCACACACTTTCAAGATTCTACAGTCTGCCGAAGATCCACAAACCTTCCGTTCCATTGAGAATAATTGTGGACTTCACCAATATACAACCTCTCTAAATATCTGGTTCCAATACAAAACCCCCGAAGAAAACACTCAATGCATTATAAAGGACTCACTTGATTTTAAACCCAAAATTTCAAGTTGGGGAACGCCATTGTCGGTTCCACATTGGAACTTCCAACTTCTGAACTTTTTACCAAGTGGGACAGCAGGCACCTTTTGCCAGAAAGCCTTAACAACAGACTGTGGATTCATGCTGCTTCTGAAACACGTATGCAGTTGTTACATTGACCTTACCTGGCCAATCCGGTCAGTCTTCAAAATTCACTTTTGAGAGTCCGGACATTGAGTTGCTTATTGTCGTGGACTCTGTTATAGATATGACATTGATTTGTAGAGTGGAAAGTGCAGTTCTCGACTGAATACCAGTCAGCAACCATCCGTGCGGTGTCCGATCAAATGTATTCCCAAGAACTAAGTTGGATAGTGACACCGATACCTATTGATGACCGCCTACGCACCCACAGACAGCACTTAGCAGTATCTTAACTATATCTAAATCTGAGCTATGATAATTTTTTCCGACTAGATGTTATTGTGATAGAGAGCTTTGTCCCAATTGTGTTTAGTTTGTCATTCGAGACTAAGATTTAACAATTTCCACTAATGATACTTCCATGGTTTTTACTTCTTGCAGCTCGAATATACGATCACGCATTGTTCTTTGGTTAAATTTGTTAATTATTATTTTGTGAAACGTTTTTGTGTAATTGAGTTATGACACAATAGTATAGCTATTAAATCTGCTGAAATACCTGTTGATACATTGCAAGTATGTATTGGTCAGACTATTTGGCAACTGCCTCATCCCATTTCGAGATCTTTCAACAATGTACACTAATGACACCTGTCTAGATGAAGCTGAAGATCATTGACTTCTTAGATATCAAATTTACTTTTACACAGTCGTATTTGCTTCAAATTATTATACGCCGCTATTAACCTTGGAACCTCACCTGGTTAACTAGTTCACTAGTTATTAGCCGGTCCTAAGCCCGGGTAAAGAGGGAAATTGGGCATAGGGCTAGCAACCCTACCCTATCAAGAAACTTCAAAGCACAAACAAAATATATAACATAAAAACAAACTTGTTCCTCGCTGGAATCGGAGAGACGAAATGACGCCGGTTGGTGAAAGCCTTCTGGGAGCCAGTCAGCCGATGTGTCTCCTCTTCTCTCGATGAAAGTAAAAGTAAGGATGGCGACATGGAATGTCCGCACCATGTACGAACCTACCAAGGCTGCCCAGATCGAGAAGCAGATGAGAAGATATAGCATGGAATTAGTGCTTGGAATCTGCAAAAGCAGATGAAACGGAAGTGGATTCTCCAAACTGTCAACTGGAGAGGAGTCAATAATCTACTCCGATATTGTCACCCAGACGACAGTCACAAGCACACTGAGTTTTCCAGTGGCTATCATGATGTCCTCAACCGCATTGTAGGCTCTCATGCAGTGGGAACCAGTCTCCTCCAGGATCAAGATCATGACAGCAAGATTCAAATCAAAAGGAAGGAAAGTCACAATCATACAATGCCACGCCACGCTAAGCACCTGCAAATAATGCGGATCAAGAGAAGAAGAAGGAGGAATTCTAAAGACAACTACAATCACTGAAGGACAAGACCTCAGTTGGCGATATCAAAATTCTAATGGGCGACATGAATGCCAAACTACGAGCGGACAACACAGGAAGACAACTCATCATCGGTCGAAAGGCAATCGGTGAGATGGTGAATCAGAATGGAGAACTCTTTGCAGACTTCTGCGCACTCAACGATTTGGTGGTTGCAGGCACTGTGCACAAACACAAGGATATTCACAAAGTGACATGGATTTCACCAGACACCAGGACACATTACACTAAAAATCAGATCGACTACATTTCAATGTGAAGAAAATGGCGACGCAGTCTACTTTACACAAGGTCAAGAAGAGGAGCAGATGTAGGTTCGCACCAATATCTAGTGCAAGGAACCTTCCAAATCCAGTTAAAAGCCTTCAAGGAAGCTGGTGATAGACCTCAATTCAAGTATAACACCCGGAAACTGAAGGATGAAACTACAAAGGAAATCTTCACGGCAGCCATCAAGACAAAATGGTAGATATGGAGGAACATCCGTGAAGAAACCTGTGTGGAAGAACACTGGAAGTCTTTGAAAGAGATGTGGAAAGAAACCTGCATAACCATATTAGGAAGGAAGAAGAAAGAAGATAAGGAATAGAACTCGACGGACACATGGAAGCTTATAGAGCGGGAAGAGGAAGATGGTGAAGCAGAAGATAAACCAGTGCAAGGGTAAACAACGAGAAGACGAACGGAGTACAACGTACAAAACACTGGACAAAGAAGTGAAGGAGAGTGCACGCAAAGACAAAAGACACTTCTATGAGACACCGGCAAGTGGAGCAGAACAGGCTGCTGGTAGGAGATACCTGACAACATTGTATCAAATAATCAGGCTACTATCCCGAAAGAGATCAACACGGACGAAACCAATGAAAGATAGTGAAGGAAACTTGGTTACCAAAGAGGAGAAACAAAGGAAACAATGGGCTGACCACTTCAAAAAGCTCTTGAATCGACCACCACCACCACCATCACCTGCAAATCATCCACAAATACCACCAGCAACGTCAGAACTACAAGTAAACACAGGCCAACCGACAAAAGCAGAAGTCCTGAATGACACAAAACTTCTGAAATCCGACAAAGCAGCAGGACCAGCTGGAATTACACCGGAAGCACTGAAAACAGACACAGAGACAACAGCGGACATGCTCACACCACTATTGCAGAAGGTTGGCAAGCAAGGAAGAAAAGGTACCTGCTGATCGATTGCAAGAACGGTCACCTTGTCAAACTCTCAAACAAGGGAGACCTAAGCACTTTGCAACAACTGGCGAGGAATCATGCTGCTGTCCACACAAACCAAAATATTATGCCACATCATCCTGGAGAGACTAAAAGATGAGCTGGATTCAAAATCATCACAGGAACAGGCTGGCTGGCTGCCTGACTTCAGGAAAAACAAATCATGTGCGGATAAAACTGCAACGCTACACACTACTCATCATCATAGAACACAACATAGAATGACAGTCAACTCTCTACCTCAACTTCATCAATTTCAACAGCGTCGACCAAGAAGTACTTTGGAAACTGCTTCAACACTATGGTCTTAGTGTCACAAACCTTTACCAACCTCATTCAACAACTAATAACGACGCTACATGCTAAGTGATTCACAATGGAAAGCTGAGTGATGTCTTTGAAGTGAAGACAGGAGTAAGACAAGGCCTCCGACTATCATCACCGATGATCCTCCTGATTGTGGTCGACTGCATCATGCAGCAAACTGTCAGGAGTGAGAAGAGGGCATGGGTTGCTTGATCGATGAAAAGACCCCAGAAGAAGATTTGGATTTCACAGATGACTCGTATGTAATGTTGCTCAAACTCGAAGATCCGCAGACAAAAACTAACAATTTGACACAAGAGGTAGGACGCCAAAGATGGGACTTCCTTCAGGTGAACGTAGAGAAGATGGAGGTGATGAGGATACCCAACCAACAACAACAAGCTCCAATCACCATCAATGCGAGAAACTTAAAGGAACTTGTCTCTTTCACCTACCTACCTAGGCAGCATCGTTTCAACTACAGGCACACAGGCACAGATAACGATGTCAAAGCCAGCATCGGAAAAGCAAGACAGGCTTTCATTCATCTGAAATCAGCGTGGAGATCTACTCCACTCAGCATAAAGCGTGAACAAGATCTGGATTTTTAACACCCATGTCAAGTCAGTGCTGCTATATGCTTCAGAAACTTGGGACGTCACGAAAAGCATTTCCAACAAACTACAGACATTCATCAACAGCTGCCGTCTACGCTCACTTCATACTGAAGATCAGATCAGATGGCCAGAATAATAAGAATAAGCAACAAGGAACTCACTCTGACTGGCAACGAACCAACCAAGAACCATCGCCCAACAAATATTCAGAAGAAAGTGGATATAGATTTGATTGGGGATACACTGAGAAGGCCGACTGGGGACATAATGCGCCAGGCCAGACCGTTGAGTGGAATCGAAGGCAGAAGTGATAAGTTGGGCGTCCGAGGCGAGGGTGACATGGAGGAGATCATGTGAGGATGAAATGAAAGTTTGTGGGGAGTGGTGGTGCCAGGTCCAAAAGATGGGGGACAGATAATAAAAAATGAATAACCGTGTGGTTGAACCTGTTATCATAATTTAATGTGACAAGTATCGAGCGTCGACGCCATGTTTCCATTTGTGCAAAGAGGTAGAGAATAGAAGTAAGCAGATGTACAACTGAACTCAACTTTGAGTAAAAATTGTTTTCCGGTTTCAGAGACTATTTTAACTGATTTCGGTAATCGAAAGTATTTTTTATGTCAGTTAAATGTTTTATGTTTGTAAGGCTTACTCAAAATGGATTTTTGTTTGTTCTAATTCAAGTACTATATAAAGTGTTTATGTGATTTATTTTTATTCAGAATGGCTCAGTTAGGTCATCATTGATTGATGAATATCCGGAACTTTCATCTCATATGATCAATAGATTGCAGCAGAAGACAGATATTTTACGGTGAGATCTTTCAATTCCTTTTCGTTATAATTAATAGACAGTAGTGACAACTATACATGAATTATTAGCTAACTTTTCTTAATTCTTTGTATGAATTTATTTTTTTGTCATCTATGTTATTGTTCAAAGTAATATCGAATTAGGTTCATCTTTTTTCGCTAAATAAGGTTTTTGCTTTATTTGAGGTATGATAGTATAAGTTATCAGTGGTCACCACTATAGCATGGCTTTCGAAACATGCTTCTAATGATACTCACCTTCGTTGTAGGTGTCAGCTATTTAGCGTGCCTCAAGATGTTATTTCTGTAGGAAGACGACAGAAACTATGGTGAACGTTTCTGCGATGTTCTTAGTTTTAGATTTACGTGGTTTTCAAGAAAGGGAGGGTTCAGACTTTTTGTCAGTCTTGTTGGTATCGCGTTACATATGTTGCTCCTGGAAGTCAATCGTCTCAGATTTGCTAGATTTCATTTTATTTATTTACCTTTGTCTTTGTTTTCTATATTTAATGCCTATGTGTGTACATTTATACAATAGCATTGTGACCCCAAGTTTTATTTCCTTTTTCACCAAAAGTCATCCTCGTCTCTTCATTATTTGAATCATCAATGGTTCATAATTCATGCTTAGCATTGGTTCTGCGATAAATGTTTCACTTACATTAGAAGAACCATTTACCGTTTCTTCGAATAATGAGTTAAGTGGTATCAAGCCTATCTTCTGAAATTCCATACTAGATTTGTTTATTTGATTTGTCATTTGACTATCTGAGATCGCTGTAGTTTGGCAGACTAGTATTTATACTGGATGATGATTGAAGGTGAGATGAAAATCTCAAGCTGTACAATCGCATATATATATATATATATATATATATATATATATATATATATATATATAATCCACATTGTAACAGAAAATATGTTTCATGAAATATTTTTGAACGGAGTTCAGATATGATTAAAAATCAGATTCCAAGAGAAAAATTACGTAATGTTTGAGATAGTAATGAGAAGACTAGTTACCAAGATCGGACTAATATTTGGTTACTAAGCTAGATGATGTAACATGGTGAATGCAAAGAGAAGTCAGAATTATAGGAGTGGAGGAATGTAACATGTGAGAGGATCTGAATGAAGAGGTTTTTGAAGGTATAAATGTTCTTATATGTTATGTCCATTGCAACTCGAGTGCCTGGACAAACTTCTTTTGGACGCGGAGTTCAGGCTTCAAAATATTAATTGCCATGGCGTCCGCAGTTTGAAGGAGTTTTCGGCATTTTGTGCGAACTCTATAGATAACCCTAAAGCTGTTTTCTGCACTTACCCCATTGTAGAACCAGGCTGTCATGTGTTCAGAAATGCTCTTGGAAAGCGAACGCTGAGTACGGTCGATATACCTTACTTCACAGGAGCAGGTGAATTGATAAACATACATCGAGGTGACCAAGGGAGCTAGCTTATCCTTTGCACATAATCGAAGCATTGGGTACGTAGAGAAAGTTAGTCTGAGTTTGGCAGTATAGAACGTCTTTCTCAATGAGCATGTCAGACGGTTTCTTAATATATCTGCTGATGTCTCCGTTGAACTGTAAGCTCATGAAAAGAAGCTTCTTAGGCGCCATGGGGGCGGAATCGTTATTTGCTTTCAGTTTCATCCCTTCAGCGATGACGTTCAGGATACTGATTTTCAATCAGGACATTTTTGAAAAAAATTAGTTCTTTTTCCAAAGTATCCGGACTGCAGATAGTGTGGATCTTATGGCACCATTGGTACCCTTACTTGCAGATTTCTTCATGTCAAAGCTAGAGAACACACACCTAAGCGGAATAATCAACCAGTTTGATTTTTATAAGCGATACGTAGATGATATCTTCATCATGTCCAATAGTATGGATCCTAGTTAAAGTTTCTTATGTACCTTCCTTATATGGTAACACAATGGAAGCTGTGAACTTTCTACTTGTGTTGTCATTATTCGTACTCGTGTTACTGTTATTTTTCGCTTTTTTTTGTTTTTACTATTTTCTTAATAAACTGCAGAGGATAATTATTAACTATTAGTGCTTCTTTGACGTGTTTCAATTTCTTGTTTAGGTCCTTGCACTGACTAGTCAGTTTTCTAGCTCTATCACTTAGACATTTGACTAAGCATGCCTTAATTGACATTAGATAGAACAACTTGACGTATAGATACCTGTTGAAATGTGTCGTTTTTCTATTCTTCGTTTTATCCTGCAATCCAACATAGGCAATTATCCTTGTTCATTTTCTGCCTCGTGAGTTAATTGGATTGTTCCTAATACTGAGTTTATATGTGTGAGGAAATTGTAGATATGTTCCGATTTCAACACAGTGAATGTGTTATCCACATATCACCACCATATTTTTGGTGTATGACTAAACGTTTATGAAGCCATGTTTTCCCAACTATCCATAAATATATCTGCTACAATTGGGGATATTGGAGATCCCATCGCTACTCCTTCTGTTTGTCTGTATATTTTGTCCTGAAACTTGAAGTCTGTGGAGGTCAGGCATAACTGTCCGCCTAATATGATCTCATCAACCGATATCTCAGTTCTGTAAGTTATGAGTCAATATTTTGTTGACTTCTGACTGCCTCCAGTGCCATACTGACTGGTATTTTAATATAAAGCCTTGTTACATCGAAGCTAACCATTTTTTCATCCTCTTCTATGTGTAGGTCATTAAGCCTTAGTTTTAACTCGTAAGAGTTTACTAGTCTGGAATTTGAAAGGTTCCTAATAGGACATGATATCGATGCTAAGTACTTTGCTAGTTCATGTGTTGGGGTGTTTCTGAAGTCAACTATAGGTCTAGTGAGATAACCTGGTTTATGAACCTCAATAGTGCCATAAATCCTGATAGGATTATTAGTTTGAGGCATTAAATTAAACCATTTAGACTCACCTAGAGATGGTTTCAGTCGGCGTATCAGACCGGTTGTAGATTTTTTAATTTTATTCATGACCGCGTCTAAAGGCTTCTTGATTTCTTCATATGGTCCTGCGTGGATATATTCGTCAATTTTGTTGAAATAATCCAATTCGTCCAAAACTACTGTTGCGTTGCCTTTATCAAACTTAACAATTACTATATTGTTGTCATTTAGTAGATTATTCAGAGCCGAGTTTTCAAGTTTTGTTAAGTTTCGCCGTCTCTTGTTTTGTCTTTTCAGTGTTAATGCACACTGTGCTCTAACCTGTTCAGCAGTTGCTGCATCCACCGAGCCTAAAGCTACTTTTATGCTAGATATGACATCTGGTTTTAGATGACCCATTGTCACATTATAGTTTAGTCCTTTTACGAGTACTTTCGTCTCAACTGAGCTTAGGCTTCTCGAGGGGAGATTGACTACCACTTTGTTCTGTCAATGTTTGGTGATTTTTCATTTGTAATCTGATTATCTTCTGAGGGATATTTCTCTTGCATTAATTTGTTGAACTTTTTGATCTGACTGTTTCTGGATTTCTTGAAAGCAGCTGACCTTGCTTTATCTGGTGTTTGTATAAGAAATTCGTAGTCTCTGCTGTTTACTATCTTCATACGTTCACATTTCAGTTGTTCAACTTTATTCCGGATCGTACTTAACTTTTTGATAATCCTGTGAATTTCTTCCTTGAGACAAAGTTTACTGACATATTCTATTGCTCTTTTGATGTTGGAATACATAGACGAAGATATTAATGGATAATTTGATTTTTCATACCATGAACATTAAAAATACGATCATTTGTGAAAATTGTGTGAGCTTATTGACTAGCCTTCGAACAGGATGACCATATGTCTCATTAATATAGGTGTACTGTACTATACTATACTAACTTCTGAAAGTTGTACTTGGATAAACTGAGATCTTGTACACAGAAGTGTTTTATTGAAAAGAAGGAGATTTCAGGAAAATAAATGCTTCTTAGAAGGTCTGATTTGTTCAGGGCTAGGTGAATTCCCGCCGCTGGTCAGGGACAAAAGTGCATGAATCGAACACTGAGTTGTCTAACCCAGCAAAACAGCCTAATTCTTTCCAGTCGTTTTCTAAGAATGTTTTAGCCATTAATTTAAACAAAAGAAGACCATCGTTAGCCATAACATCAATCCTATTTGTTATCAACTAGTCCTTTCTCATTGGTAAGTATCGTTATGTGATGGTTGTCTCATGAGCCCATGTTCTTCTCACTTGCAATTTAATTCATATATAATCATCTCAGCGTAGATGGTAGTAGTTTGGTGTTTTGTCATCGTATGTGTAGTCAGTGGATATCGCCAAATAAATTTCCTTGTTCTTACTCACTCTCTTCATAGAAATTAGGTGCATATTGTTCATTATGAGTTTGCGATGCATATATTTGTCAGCTGTCAGTATCTTTTTTGACTCATGCATATCGACCTGCAAAATAATGTCACTTAAGTAGACTAAGTATTCGTTGCCAAGTCAATTTAAAAGCATTTATTTGTTTTGGTGACGTAACCATGTTAACACTGTTCAATAACTCGAACAATAATGACCCCTTCTAATATAATTTTCAAAAAAACATTATTTTCACTTTAGATGATAATTTATCAAGTTTTCTGCCTATGTATTTATTAAAATACCCCACTCAACTTGGCTGAAACATCTTTTTAATAGTTGGAGAATTTTGACACTTGTAAACACTATTGCGTCAAGTCCGTAAAATGATCCAGATAAAGAATAATGCATCTCTTTAAGTGATATCGTATTGCAGAGCGTAATTCAGTTTTATCTTTCCTGTATTTTATTCTAAAGGATTATTACTTCTGACGAGATTTCACTTTTCTTTGTCATTATGAATTATATTTCACCGGGAAACTTTCATATCACAACTTCTTGATTTGTCACTTAGTCATTCAATGAAGACATAAGAACTAACATTACTGCGTAGTCGTTTGATTGACCACACCTCGCGTTAGCACAGTAAAATAAAAGGTAACATGATGAAATATGTATAAATATAAATGGTAAACTGGAGTCATAGAACACTATTGACCAAAAATAAAATTATTTAACGCAAGTAGCTTAGTGTGACAGTGGTTCCAGGAAAGGTAATTTATGGATTCATCTCCGGTGTTGAAGCTGGTTGTGAATCATATAACCTAGAGTCTCTAACTATCAACTCTGCTTGTCACGCGAGCCCAAAGCCTACATTTCTTTACACTTGCTCATAAGTTTGACTGATAGGTTTTAATTTTAGTTTGATCGTCGTTAGCTTTTTACCAACGTAGCCTGACTTCAACTAACAAAGTTCATCCAGATATACAGTAAGTAGGCAACTGTGATATATCCAAGTCACTGCTATTAACGAAAGTTCAGGCCTTAATAACTGACCTATTGAATTCTCTGTTTAATCTCTACACTACATACTCATCCGTCGCATGAAATGTGGCCAATAATATAAAGGCAACGATGGTCGGAGATCTGGAACCTTTTTGTTCCTCCTTTCCCTAATGACCCTATTCAACTTTGTAGGGTAAAAGATGACTTTTCATGGACTGTACTTCTTAGCCATCGAAATGTTGTGATATTCTGTATTATTGAGGGTGCATAAATATTTCTGAATTATTATTATTCATAATCGTTCGGCGATTACAAGAAGCTGAATGGTGTCAAGAATTTCAGGCGTTACAAACTTTTGGGAAAACGTAGTTATATTCTTAGATTTGAGGCTGATATTTTATTCGGCTAATGTAGGACTACTGTGTTCGCACAAAATAAATATATCATGTAGCCGAATATTATCAGCTCGAATTTACTTAACTTGTGAACTGACATTAGGAAGACTAGACAGTCAGGTATTGTAACCCAGCCAGCATCTACTTCGGGCGAACCATGTAAGTTTTCGGTAAAATCCCGAAAACTTTACTCCGGGCTCAAATGGGGAGACACATGAAATTGCCAAACATTTTCATCGAAAATGTCAAACGTTCCAAAGTGCACCTGAAGTTTTTCCCCGCGATTAAATTTTCAGAAACCCATGTACAATAGGGAATGTATCAAAAAAAATATTATCATAGGAGCACCAGATTTACATTATATTTCGGTTTCCTTTATTCCATTGCAATTATGATTTCCGGAGAATTCGGTAGATGAATGCTTTCTGCATACTGGGAGACGAAAACTGGAACCACCTCCTCCTTTTCAACCAACTCATGAACCTAAGGGAATGATATTATGGAACACGTTAGGCTTACTAACTTTCCTCTCTTTGACCTTTTCTCCCTCATTCTCAGTTTGTCACGGCTGTTGTGAATCCGTCTCTAGATGTGATTCACAGTCTTTTCCGTTGTCACTTCTTTGTCGTCTCTGCTGTGCCTGTGAATGTTGTAAAGAACGTCTGACAAATTAAAAACAGGAACTTATTTATGACAAGCATAGATATCGGCGTTTTCTTGTATAGTCCTTTTTCTTGCGTTGACGATTGTGAGTACCGTATGCTGAAATTGGGTTCCAGTAGCGTAATCATTAGGTGATAGACAAAAACACCAGTGTTTAAATCCGCCTGACTGAATAACTCCCGTGTTGCCGATTGGCGACATTCAGGATCAGTCAATTCCCGTTTTATTTCTTGCATTCGTAGATCATTATCAATAAGCTATTAGTCGGAGACCTGTGACTTCTCCTCCGGAGCCCCTCGAGCAAAATACGTTTGATAGACGATGTTGCAGGTGGCATATAGGATTATATTATGTTTTGTTCCATAGAAAGCGTCAGATCCACCAGCTACTGTAACATCGTCCAAAACAGACATTTCAGGCTCGACCCAAAATTCCTGTACTTCGTCTTGCGGGCATTATTCCATTCTTCATCATTAGACAATGAAACCGGTTGAATAGCTGATTCAACTAAATATTAAACTTAAACATTATGACTACTGGGAAGAACTGATGGTGGTCAATAAGAGAAAATAGGATTTGATGCTGCTTATGCATAAATAGCTAAAGAAATCTCACATACAATTACCTGTCATCTGTGCATTAGGCTGATACTCATATTTCTTTAATCTTCTGTATAATGTTGACATATTCTGGCGCAGTTTAAATCACAGTTTAGCTTAGCTAGACGTTTAGTGAGGAATGGGGAAGCCTTACGCAAATTTCAGCTTCGATGCCTTCTATGGCTTGAGGTTGCGACGCTTCGTGAGGGGTTGCGTCCACCAACTTCAATCGTTTGAGTGGCCTCAGAAAGTTCGCAGGATGTCATTTATCTGAAAACGAAGAATAATTGAGGACTACTTTAGTAGTCTTTTAAGTTTTGGCATCTAATATCTCTTGACATGGTATGTTCTGGGCGTATGCATTTCACATAGGAATGATCTCCAAACAAAAAGTGTTACAACAGCAAGTATGAAAAAAAACTGAACATTTTGTACTTGCTTTAGAGCCTTTGATATTTCCACTGTAGGTTACTAAGAAATGTTATGTACAAAGTGGTAGTAGAATCAGCAGTCTAACCATTTTACAAGATGGTCTCGACTACTTTTGCCAGAAAAAGGAAAGCAAGAATTTCATTAAACCGTTAAACTGAATCTAAATACACTCAGCATCCTTATACACACTCGTTCAGTAGACAGTGAGCCACACTTGTGTGAGGGCCAGCAATACTACCTGCCTACCCAGTCCTTGCTGGGCATAGTGGGGCTCTAACCCGTGGACTAATGGTTGAAAGTTATCTCCCTAAACCATTGAGTCATAGCTCTGTCACTGTAAAAGCCGATTCAAATGACTGCACATTTTGAAGGTTTAGTGTTAACCATGGACATAATAGTCCGTGTTTTGCTCGATGATTCCTATGCAACCAAATTATCATGCCTAATTCGCCGGATATTCAAAGAATTTTCAACGATGTATAACTTTCTATCGCAAAGCCTACTGTGACTTCGTAAATAAATAGTTAGTGAAATGGTTTCGACAAGTAACGTATTTTATATTACTGTCAAACAAAATCCTATATTGCATGTGGCTTTTCTAGTTTTCCAGAGTACTCTAAGGATATGCTTACTTGAACATCAGGGTTTAGTTAAAATTTTCAAAGTATATCTTAGCTGTGACTTTTCTGTCAGTTAGGGTGTTAACTTCCACCTTCGTTCAAAAGATGAATGCCATAAACTCTATATTTGTTTTTGTGGTGAAGCTGGAGAAGGACAATTTGGAACCAGCGATTTAGCGAATAACCTTCAATAACCAATTAGAACACTATCCAGCTGAATATTAGCCACAAATGCCGGCCACGTTTTGCGTTTGCATTCCATGTCGATGTTACTATTCAATTGTGTTGAAAACGGACTAATTGGAAGAAAGCATATTTTATGTATGCTCTTGTAGTGAAAATCTTACTAAACAGTGGCACGGGAAAGCTATTGACAGTCATGTTTTCGTTGCTGAAGATTCTGGAGACAGAAATGTAATGCAGCGAACTTCATCTCTTTTAGAATCCTTTTCCTCGAAGCCTAAGTTACCCTTAACGAGAATACTGCTTTACTGTCACAACTGATGTACTGAGAACACTGCTGTGAACAAATTAAAGAATAGCTTTATATCCACTGTACGGTGACTCCAACTCTACGTAGAAATTAGCGTCATGAAAGATGGATACAGTTGCTAGATTGTTTGGTCACTCTAAAATCATCCTTCACATTGACTAAATTGTCTTAAAGAAGAAAGGTAAAGTGGTGAACTGTGATGAGCTAGTCAAACTAAGACCGTGAGGATAAATGACACCAATTTGTAACACGTATTAATGGAAAAAGCACCTAATCCAAGTGCTTATCATTCAGAAAATAATCTTATCCGGAATATCAATGCAATGGATGAGTGACCATCATATTCTGAATTTTCTTCAGTGATCTAAATTCATCGTATGGTAAACCACTTGCCAGAATTCGTGGACCCTGTATTCGAGAAAAGAAAAATTTCAATCAAAGGTTTCTGGCAGAAACCGTAATGATCAAGTTTTAGCCATAAATATATCGCTCCTGATTTGTTTCTCAAAGTCAGTTGTTTAGTCTCGTTATGATTTCATCAGTATTTCGGAATTTGCTATTTGTTTTCAATTTTGCTTTCTCTAGGTGCCCATACTGTCATCATCCCAGGCCACTGAGTCGCAAACAAAACTACTGCTTTCATTGTGGCATGAATCTGCCTGTTCCATCTTTGCCAAAGCGTGATCCTTATGCATTAGAGAACATTGGTGTTTGCCCATACTGTAAAGCCCATATACCAGTAAACCTACCTAGCTGCTTAGTATGTGAAGCTCCATTGCAGATGTCTCAAATACAAGTATGTGTTTTATTGCTTTGTAAATTAAGAGTTTATCTGCCAAACTCTATTCCTACACATTTCTAATTGTTGTTGGTTCCTCAAAACGCTTTTTTTTAGTGAAGTACAAGCAGCACTGAACCGCTTGACTTCGCTTCAGACAAACGTAGAATGTTTGAGGCTTTAAATGTCTAACGAAAATAAGTGCCGATTTTTATGAATTAATTTATTAGCTATACTTTAGTTTATGGGAAACTGCAAAAAGTACTTTAGTAATTTGTCTATCCTAATATTTTATTAAATGCAAACTTAGCAAAATATCTACATCATAGTCTTTCGCGAAAGTATTAATATGTATGATAACTGTGATAGATTCTGTGATAGATTCAAGATTTATAACTTTCACATCATTATAGAAAACTAGCTAGCTGAATTGTCTAGTAGCACAAAGAAATCACTAGATGATCACACAGAATGACAATTCAAATATAAGCATACAATTAATTGTTGGTTGGTGGTGTTATTTTGTTGAGAATGGTATTTTAATTTATCTGGTTCCTTACTTATTGTGCAAACTTTGGATTTTTTAACTTCATAAAGTCATTGAAAGCAGAATGACGTTACTTCAGCTTTACTACAAATCGTAAGAAAATCACCTTAACCTTCCTTTTATCGCTGCCCTCTTTTCACCCCCTTCTCTCTCGTTCAAGTATAATCTGTATTACTTAATTATCTTACAGTTTTTAAAAAGTGCTATATTGCAACTGCGCCACATATGAGGATCGAATCGAAATGCACTCAGCAGCCTTGTGTTCATTCGTGCAATAGGCAATAAACCATATGTATTGTTTCAGGGCTAGTGATTGCTACCTGGCTACCCAAACCCGTGACCCATTGGTTAAAAGTGTTCTCCCTAAACCAGTGAGCCGTAGCTCCACTAGAGATATAGTTTTTACTTGTAAGTAGGTTAACATGATCTGATTAAGATCTTCGTAATAATAAGAGCCGATCTTCGGTGAGATTACTGAGAGCCTTAAACTAAAGACTGTTCAGAGAAGGGTACTGATGTATATATACACTTCATCGCCTTCGGAACCTTAAATGTTTTCCTTAAATCAGCATTTGTTTATTCTCTAAATTCTCATACTTCTTTATTTACCATAATGCCATTCTTTTTCTATCCGTCTCTTTGCATTCTGTTTGTGATAGAGTAGAGGGTACTTCTACATGTCATACAGATGAAAGACTTGTAGATCTGCAGCTCAAATATGCATATATAGTGAGAAGAAAGTGATGCATCTTAGTTAACGATCCAAGTTGCTATGGGAGATTCATTCCCATGACATCTTGTTAGCTTTGGAGTTTAAGTGAAATGGATCCATACCAATGCTAAGATAGAAAGCTATGTTGATAAATTTAATATGTCATCTTTGTTCATGATTGTAGATAGCGAGAAGTAAAAATCAAATTCATAACTATGCATTTATTATTATTTACCAAGTAATATTGTAATGATACTTATCTAACACCTAGTCAACTGAATTAGATTGATCAAGATCACTTAGCGAAACCATAAGTGATAAATTATGAGAAACTTGAAAAATGCACTTAGAAGGGTAAAACAGCTTGTCGAATAAGGGTGATGTCAATATTCTACATGAAACTTCCTGAAACACTCATTAACATCGAACAATGCAGAAGAATATCATGTTGGTGAGTATAGCAATTATTACCACCCATAGATTTATCTTGCTATCTTTTGTTTTGTAGAATATACCAGGAGTAAGTTTTAGTCAGTGTAAATTGTATCTTTTGTCACTTAATATGATTTGTAATTGCGGTTAACTTCCCCATAAAATGTTTCGAAGCTTACTATTGGTTAGATTCTTTGATTTTCAGCACATTACAATTCACATTGAACTACAAAATACTCACATGTACAAATATATCACCTAGTATATTTAACAATTGGAACTAAATGTTATTTTACTTGAGTATATGCTACCGCTAGCCTAATAATGATTATTATGAAGTGTGTTAAAGAAATATAATACAACGATAATCCATTATGAACTTCTGGCATTCTTAAAATCAGTATTCAAACCTGTTTCATAAAATACTACAGCCACTTATTCATAGTATTTATTCTCACATTACTTCACTCTTCTTCTGTACTCAGTACATTTCTGAATAACCAGGTACTGATCCAATCTATGAAAACATTATTGGGAGACTAAAAAAATATTTCTTCACATACGTTTTTTGCTTAAACATGTTTCACTTCTCTGCTGAGGTCGTTATACGGAACAACTCTCAACTTTATATAGTGGTATAGACATTTGTTATTTGTTGCTTATGTGTTCACTGACATCAGTTTAAAGGTATGTGGTAGGATAAATTCGAAATTAATGAAATACTTCATAAAAGTAGACTTATATCATGCCTCTCTACTTATGTATGTTTATATAATGTTCGCTTCATCCGTCTGTCTGTAAAACAGTGGGCCTAATGTTTTCGGCTTGTAAACAACCTTTTTGGGTCTTTTCTGTGGCAGTACATTTGTAAAAGTTAGTTCTTCCTTTTTTAACTTTCATGAACCGACACTATTGGCGAAACTACTTAAGGCTAGTGAGCAGTGGACAATTGTGTGGTCATGGTTTAAGAATTCTCATCACTTTCAAGTCTCTAATCTAAATGGCACAGAATGCGAAGCATCCCAATCTTCTGACGAATACATTTCAGCTTTGTTTGCGAGATTTCTAATTGATGATGTACATATATACCATGATTTACTGCACAATATTCATATTTTAATCACAACAAACCGTGTTACTTATAAATAGTATATAGAATTAGGCGAAACTATTTTTGATATATACTGAGCTATGTGTTTAGAGTAGTCGTCTCCACAATATGCTTAGCCTCTTATAATCCTGGATATTTCAGTCATTTATAGTAGATGTAACTTATTTTTCACTAGTTCACTTAAACGTAAAGCTTATTCTATGGTATATAAGTGTTACTGTATAAATCTCAATGTGTTTAAAACAAATTTCTAACTTATTTATATTTCTCACATCTATTTTTTAATGAATTCCTTCGAACGACATAATTTTCTTTGTATCTACATCTCTAGAGCAGACTCTTTTATCCTTCAAATTTCAACGCTTCGGTATGACTTTCCCTAAGTGGTTAGTGGCAGGTGAACGTTCCTGGCAATTTCTTAACGTAATTCACATGTACAGCCTAATGTTATAGTTGCTTATTTCATATAGTTACTGTTACTATTCCGCTTATCATTTCAGCCTGAACAACGTTTTACATGATCACCCAGTCGTTTTCCGGTACATCTAATCTCTAACATATCTGAGAACATTAGTTTTATCCTGTGTATATGAAGTCTTGAAAGGGTTACTTAGCCCAGTGATTAAACATTTAGGATCAAGCAACGAAACTCAAAATATGCAAAGCCATACTCGACCAAACTCTATTGAGCTTTATCTATTGATATTATATGGCTAACCTTTTACCTTCAGAAAGTCTTCAGTATTTGTGTGTAGAGGCTTTTCACTTTCGTATTCAATGAATTCTTGTTCATGCAATATCCAGTGAAATGTAATAAATTCCTTTTTTTGCTTACATTTTGTTTCATTTACACTGTTAGCACTACATGGCATCTTTATGCCTACCTTGAACTCATTTTATCACGACTATTTTCTTTGTTTGCCTAGTGCTTACAACTATTGGCCACTTTCTTTTGCAGAAATATGGACAGTATCCTAAAGAATCTCGTTTGTGTACAACTTGCGGAACCATGAATCCCACTGATATAAGGAGTTGTGTAATGTGTGAGGCACGATTATCAACAGATGCTACTAATGTCATACTTTCAGGCGTACAATCAGCGTATGATTCTCGTCCACCTGTACCTCATTCACACGAAGGAAAAATGAAATATTCAGAATTGGGTAAATTTGTACGATTTTCTACCTGTGCTTACTGTAATCGTGAAAATAATCCTGATGCACGTTACTGTGATTGGTGTGGTCTAGAAGTGCCAAAACAGTGTTCACAACAATTCAATAGTGAATTAAGATCTGCAGATAGTAACCAACAAAATATTGATACAAACACTCTTGGTGCAAGCCAAAATGTACCACTCAATGTGCATCATAATCGGTTAGATTATGATGATAATCATAATAGTAATAATAAGAAACCATTTCTAAGCAGTGATTTTATTCATTGCATAAAATGTGACTTACCGAATCCAAAAGAAGCGAATTATTGTTCTTATTGTGGATTAAATCTAATGCCACCTCCACGCTGTACTCGATGGTATCCAACTAGTCATACACCAGGTAAGTATTTTTCTGCGGAGTTTACTCCTTATATGAGCAACTTGTTTTGTTCACCATTAAAGTCACTTAAAAAGTAAGATTTCAACTTTAAGCCCAATCATCACTACCAGCCCTTCCATGGAATTCTCTTGACAAGGTCATTGACTTTTCTAATCTAGATAATTGAAGTTATAAATGAATAGAAATGATTAGATTTCGTTCCATTGGATTGAAGGAAATGTGTTGCTTTGTGATAAATAGGTTATTGCAGTTTAAAAAAGAAGCTTTATGAAAGAAGTTTCTCAGAATCACTTTCCGTATCCTTATACTGCTTCTCTATACTCGCATTGTATGTCTTCTCGTGAAACCAACACACCGTTTAAAAGAAACTCCTGAATTAAACCATTAAGCAGAATATTCGACGAACTCATTCGATTTTACCACAAATCTTGCTGTAACGCTTAATGTGTATTGAATTTCATCTTCCATTAATCTGAACAGATGTTAGTAAAGTAAGTAGCTTTTTTAAGCAACTGATATATACGGAATATGTCAATGATGTTGCTAGTCTGTAATCAGTCAGTTAAAGTTGGAACACCTAAAGTGTTTCACCCTAATACATTTTTCACATCCTTCCTAGACAGACAAAATCAATGTAGAACCTCCCACACAAGTGCACTTACTCAATTTGCCACACTTCACATTAATGTACAAAGAAAAAATGGCTAAAAAAGCGTGATGTTAAAGTAGACAAAGATACACAGGAGGAAAAGAAATGTGAAGATAATGGTTATTGAAAATCTTCAAGCTTTGAAAGATGTTAAAGAGTGAAAACATCTGTACCATTATCATCGATTTTCAGCTATCTCATCAACAGCCGCCAACCATTGACTCCTGTCGTTTTGAGAACCTCTGCCAGACAGTCCACATTCACTTATGGAGCTTAAACCAGCACTAAGAGACTTTATGGACTTGTGCTATCCACTTCGTAGTCCGGTTATCCTTAGCAGTCTTCTAACCTAACTCTGCTTCAATTAACGTACCACTTCGAGTTAAGCAGTGACTCGGCATGAGTGCCGAATGTCCAAGAAACCTCAGTTGCTAAAGGTTCACAATCTCATTAATCGATTTGCCCTCCTTGCCCAGTACCCTTCGGGTTACAACGGCATTGTTTACACGATGATTCCACCATGCGTAAGCTACGTCACGAAGACAACTGTATTCCAAAGGTTTTAATCTCTTCAAACCTACTTTCAGCGGTCATCTCTCACAGCCGTATGGTAGTCAAATGAAAACTTCAGCGTAGCATACTCGTCCTTCGATAGGTAGTCGGATATCTTGCCCTCGGCGTCAGAGATGATGCCAGTTGGCAGTTGCCATACGGGAACTTCGCACTCGAGCTGAAATTTAGTCCATTAGGATTGATCCAACTCCCCTGGTACGTAAGTTGGTCAACGCATTCTACTGTTTCAATCTCTGTGGTTAAACTCGGAGTAGTTGTGGTTTTGTCTAGGAGGATCATCTTACATTTGATGGGTGCAAAACCCATGCCAAACTTTTTGGGATTTCCTCTCTTTGCGTCCTGAACACTACATTTTGTCAGCGTCTTCACTTAGTAAGGCTATACCATTCCCCCCCCCCCAAATCAACTGGGTAACTTCCAAGGGGTAGATTAATCCCTGTGAAACTAGCGGTATATAATGTTGTGTCAAATAACAATATATAACGAAGTTGAACAGGGTCAGCGGTAGTGGGCATGCCTGGTGGACACCACTATTTGTCATCGATTCAGATGACAAATATCCTCAAGCTTTTGCTTGGGTGCATGGTTTTGAGTACAGAGTTTCAATCAGTGTCACATACCTGCTCCTTTCTCTCTCCATGATTAGACAGCCAGCAAATTTGCTGATAAACAGAGTTGAATACCGCCTTCAGGTCAAGAAATATGGCAAGTGTCAACCGCCGGTAAGCTTGCCAGTACCTCCGAGGGTTAAAGTATAATCGATACACCTTCGTTCAGGTCTGAAACCCACCTTATTTTCTCCAGTTTGCTGTTGTTGGGCTCCAGTTAGGTATTGAATAACTATGGACGCTAAGATCTTTGACACGATATTGGTCAATCTGGTTCCCCTATGGTTGTCACCAGATAACTTCAATTTTTTCCTTGATACTGGAATGGTCAATGAAGTAAACCAGTTTGACGGCATTATCTCTGATTCTTATAGAATACTTAGTACCTCCGTTATTCTGTTTAACAGTTTCCTACCTCCTTCCTTAAACGGGTCCTATTGCTTTGCATCATCTACGGTTTGGAACAGCCTTCTCAGCTTCGATGAAAGTTGCAGGACCGACATCTACTTCCAATGCACGTTCGCAATGAATACTCGGCAACTGAAGCTTTGCTTTGGGCCATTTGAACTGCTTTTCGAAGTGTTCTGCTCAATGTCCTAGCTGTTTGTCGCGAGAGACCATCAGGGTCTCTTTCTCAGAAATTTCGTCACTCACCATCATCTCGTCAGTATGCTGATAAGACTGAATAATTCCCAGGTACTTCCTAGTGCTGACTTCTTTTCCATCTCTTTAACTTTCTCCGCCTGCTACTGTTCACAATCATTGCGAAGAATCTTAGTCAATTCACGTTTGAAGCACTGCTGCTCTTCATTATTATCAGAGTCAGCTGGAATGAGTTTTCTCCCATCAACCAGTTTGACTAAGGCTTAGGAAATCCACTGATTTTCGCTCACCTTTGGATATGAGTCGCTGACTGTCTTTATTGTTGTTTTTACTGCTCACGGATTACCAGGCTAGGCTTTTGTTCTCAGCATTAAAAGTTTTGTCCTGTTCAGATATATGCTTAGCTATTTCCTCCCTAGATTTGTACTTAACGTCCTTATTTTTCAATAAGTCGTACACAAGCCTAGTTACTTCTTCTTTTCTGTGAGCAGTAAGATGCAGATATACACGTGGCCGTAGTATCGCATGATCGAAGTCCAAGCAGGCCCCTTACAAGGAGGGACGATTCTCCAAACATCTCTAGCGATGTTGTATTAAGCACATACCACTACCTTGACTTAGTTGTCGAACTTGCACATCAAAATGACTCAACTAGCTGCTTCTTTTAAGCTTGCACAGAGCAAGAACAACAATTGAAGGAGAGTAACATGAGTTTGATGAATAGTGTTCAGATAGAAAATGTGCGGTGTATAAAAACCATAAAAAAATTTAAAATGTTGGTGATCAAAATTTTTGATGTATTTTAGTAAACAATACTCATTGGAGTAGTTAGATATTTACAATTGTATCCTTTTGGATAAATAAATGAGGATGAGGCGTTCTGATGGCAATAACTTCAAAAAATCCCAATAAAGTTAAGGCTTTTCGATGTATTGATTTCCCTAAACGGCCTAGGACTGTCTACATCTTGTCCAGTATCCAGCAGATGACGATTCCTAGTTTAATCACAGGGTACGTCTTTTTCAGCGTAACCACCTAGCAATTTCGTCACCTTCGAAGGCAAGTTGCAGAAAAATAGATTTCTCTCTACTGTTCTAAACCTTACTTCTTTTGGCACATGGTTGTCCATTTCTGTCGCTAAATATCTTCAGGTACCGATAAATAAACGAGCGATTTTCACTTGGCGCTAATTCTTTACCAATCTTCTCCTCTGAGGGCATTTTTTGGTGCAATTGAGTAACATTCTAATCAATCCCTCTTAGTAACCATTGAAGTCCTAATAAATCCCGTAACACCTCTCCTTCTAGTGAACGTATCTTTTCATCTGTCTCACTCTTAATACTAAGCTTTAGAAAATAAAACTTATCATCCTGCTCACGTTCTATTAGGATGTAACTTATTGAGAAGATTCAGTGCTTGAAAAGCGTAGTTTTAGCAAATACAAATGATACATATGTCGTCAACATAACTGACATAAAATGGTATCTCATCAGTTGCAGGCTTTTTATTTGCCTACTCTAGGTGACGCTTAAGTTTGTCAGCCAACGGGGTAACTATAGCGACCCCATCAACTTAATAATATCAGACATTGAACTAAAATTATACATCTTTAGTAAACTTTAGTAACAAAGTGCTTGGAATCATCTCGTGGTGAATTACTTACAATTACGTAATATATTATGCAATTTCTCCATGTCTAGTTATCTCTTGTGTCCGTCGGCTTCCTAGTCTCGTCCAAAATACTCACATAGTTGCGTCATAAATAGCTACCCTCCTTACAGTTTTTACAATTTACTTCTCTGAAAGCGGCCTACATAATTTCCGTCAACTTGATAAAAAGTTTGTGAGATAATATTTGTAATAACCAAAATCCACTAATTTTGGCCTGAACGTGGAAAACAACTAGGCGATGCCAACTAACGTGAATTCGACAAGTTCCTGCGTTCTACTGCATAGTTTCCGAACCTCCGCGAGTGACGCATAGTCGAAGGTTGGATCAACAATATCAATAACACGGCTTGTAGTAAATCAGTGGTAGATTCGTAATAAAATCTCTGGTACTATCAAGGCAACAATAAGTCATATCAAAATAACAAAAATACCTAAACAGTGCAGTTGGGTAACTATACAGTCCAAACCTTCTCGTGGACAAATATGTACTATACAGTAAAAATACAATTGTTAAGTATCTGAGAGTCAATAAGAATATTCCCTATAAAAGGGGATCAAAAACTCTGTCTACCAGAATCAAATCAACAAATAAATGTTTCCAGTAGCCAGTCAAAAGATAAGCAGTCAAAGCACAACCTTAAGTTGAACCAAAACAAAATGTCGGGCGCAGTAAAAAACGTCATATAATAGGAAAGTGGAGGACTCATGATAAGTCTCAATCAAACAAAGACAAATAATGAGTGCAAAATCAAAAAAGACAGTCAAATAACATTACATCGGCTAGGGTCAAACGCACAATATCCATAACGAGGGTAAAAATATTCAAATAAATGTCAATACTGTCAAATAGGGTGATCAGAAGGGATTTTCAGATTATTTTTTCAGTTACATTATTGTGATTTATTCATTTTGTTATTGTTCCATTTGTAAGCGGTTGTGGAAAATCCACGTAACAAGAATGAACTCATGTTGTTATGCTTCAATTACTGCTTTTGCTTCATTAACGAGTTGAATTGCATGCATTTAAAGTGTTCTTGTTAAAACATGTTTGTATTTTGTCAGTAATACTTATAAACTGGATACAACTAAATTTCGCTGTTTCATTATCAATACATTAGCTCAAAATTGAGATATTTATCACAAAGTTTAGAAATTTTTGAGTAGTATTCTATTTGAATTCACATGTAAAAACATTTAAGCTAATATTTCATAGAATTAGATCATGTAAATCACTGAAAAGCTTGTACATTGTGGAATGGATTAATGTATTATAAGTAAGTTGTAAACGAAAAGTTTAAACGCAATAATAAGCTTTTTTGTTTTAGCAATATTTTGAGCAAAATTGCTTCTCGCGATGACACCAATAGTTGGAATTTTTTAATATCTATTCAACTGTTGGTGCGATCACAGGCAATAATTTTGCTAGGAATATTACTAAAATAAAACTTATCATTGTGTAAGCTTGTCATTAGAAATTTACCTAGAATAAGATTATTTGAGATAATTAATGTGACTGGAATACTGTTATACAGGTATTCATTACCTTTGATTTGGTGATCGAATCCAGTTTTGAGATTAAAAATGAATTGAGAACCACCTTTCTTAAGATAGAAACGTTGGTGGAACGTTAGAGAAATTGATTTGAAAAAAATCTATATGAAATGGTCAAACGATGAACTTTTATAGCTGGGTCTTCATAATTCGCAACGAAATCTTATCTCTCACCATACACTAGAACGAAACGGCAGTCCCAATGTGTTAGAAGAGAGATTTTTTCTCCTAAGAAAAATTCTGATAAAGAACGGGTTCTTACCGCGCTTCACAGTTGGGAATATGGAGCTGAAACGTCACAAAGAGAACACCATGCTTGTTCCAAATAAGGCGCTGTATATAAGATTAACTTTTGAAGGTGATTCTGTTCGTGATACTCTAAAGAAAGGAATATCGAAGTCACCAGTACTGAGATTGATACTGTCGTGTCACTTAATGTTTTCTAACAACTTGAAGGACAAAACTTCTCGCATTTTATCACTTTTGTATGCATACACCAATTCACCTGCTCTGCTGGAATTATATGTATTGATCATTTGATGAGAGTCTTATCTAAAAAGGCTTAGACGCAGTATCCTGTAGGGTTACAAAAAGGTAACAGTGGATCGATAAGAATTGCTTCAATTGACCATGTTGTATACATGGACAAGGTCTATCTGTGCAAACTCTTCATTTGAGGTCATTTATAGTGTGGAAAGAAGCCTTTTTCATGTCGTGTCCTGTTATATATCTTCCGCAGATATCGTGAAAATGGCGTTAAGTTTTAAATTATTTCCACCAAATATGATTTTCTTGTGATTTCTTATGATATGAATTACTGAATTGTAGGTTATAATGAACTCGAGATAGAAAACCAATCAGAAAAACCTGTTCCACAATACAGATCTATACAAACTGTTGTTGCGAATGTATCTACACAAACTGTTGGTCTATTCTATCCAAGTTCAACTGACTTACGGCGTCAAGATCAATTGGCTCAAAATCGTTCAGTACCAGATGTGCAGTTAAGAGATAGAACACCTATTTTAACTACAGTTAGTCCTGGAAAAGGTAAAGTTTCTTCTCTGTTTTACGTTGTTATGGTGTAGAAATAAGATTACACTGATCTGCACAATAGTTTTTAGTTTTTTGGAGTCTGAATTCTTTCTATCTAATTAAAAAGAACAATTTCGATTGTTTGATAAGCCTACTTCTGGTTTACAACCATAGTTTTAATTTATTCACCTTATTCATGAAGTACAAATCACCCTGGTCTTCGTATCATCATGTTGTAGTGTGCAATAAGATTGCCAAGATCTTCATAAGAAGTTATAAGTCCCTGAGGCCTTTTACAGCCAGTCGTTTTCCTTCCAAGTTCGGGGAAAAAGCACGCGAACCAACGTGTAAATACCAGATTGGTTAAAGAGACAAAATCAATAGGACATTATATATATATATATATATATATATATATATATATATATATATATATATATATATATATATATATCAAGTGTAGACATCGCATTTATATTGTTTTTAGTTCATCCGTCTTCATATTCAAAGTAAGCAATATTATCAACAATCTGGCTATGATAAATCAACGACAACTAGTCAACTGTGTATTATTGTAATCCTGCTTATTCATGATATATTGACTTACTTACATAGATACTTGGGTTTTAAGAAGTGAGTTCTAGATTCAAATCACACTCCACCGACTGTGACCTTGTCAACTGGCTAGCAAAATGAACCTAACACAGTGTAGTGCATAAACCTCTACTAGGTTGACAAAGTTTATTCAAATTATGGAACAATAACTTTGACATTTTTTGTACAAATACTTTGGTCCCAATGAAAGGTATTTTACCTTGACTACCATGAATAACGAGCAGCTTAGTTCAGTTCAAATTAAATTCGCTTAATCGTTGTAGTACGTAGTGACACACTGTTTACTTAACATCAGCGTTCAGATGAGGACTGGTATTTTCAACATGGTATGGTCACCGACTGTGTCTGTGTTTGGGACATCAAATAAACAAATCTAGTATACAATTGCATTCTATTAGTGCCCAAGTTGTACACGCGCATCAGCTTAGCTCATACTTTTTCAAGACTAAGGGACAGATGTGTACAGATAAGTAAAGAGCAATCCATTGGTTCAAGCTGTGAAACTTCGCAATATCGTGGAAGTTCACCAGAAGCAGTATGAAATTTCTTGCAATGACATAAAAATATATCAGTTGAATGCAAGCAAATGGATGTAGACAGCTGGACTGTTCGAAATTCCAAACGTAGTAAAATATAATCGAATTTGAATCATGTCACTCAAGGTTTCCAATTGCTGATGTCTAACCTCCTGAGGAACCTAGGTGTGTACAAACCCTCAAATGATATAGACTGGTGTCAGTGACACAATAAAATAGTGCTGTATTTGTTTTGACACCACCAGTTTTTTTTAATCTAGCCATTCTTCAAATATGATCACGATTCAATTAGGTGACTAGTCGGCATGAATAACACTTTTCTCTGATATTCCAGAGGTTTGGATTCACATCAATCCGCAATCAACAGAAACATAGACATTGATCCAATCTGTCAACCATTAGGAAAAACGATTAACGTCTGTGGCATGAGAGGTCACGCAGAGAAACCGCCATCAGGGAAATTTCTGCAGTTAGTTACACAACATCTAAAGGAAACAACTAACATACTACTGAATCACTCACTGAGAAATACTGATAGCTAACTTACTATTGAATTTATTCCTGGTAATGTTGTCCAGAAAGACATTGAAAGCCTCACGATTAAATTAACTGCCTCAGAGAACTCAACACAACCAAGATCATCCACCTGAGCTACAAATATTTTCCATTGTAACACCAATGTTAACAATCTTTATTGTTATAATACCATTTTCCTCTGTTTGCTTGTTGAAACGATTCTTCGCGAAAATGGAATCTTTTAACGAATATTTAGGTAGAGCTAATTACAGATGCCAGTTTAATACTTATTCAAGGTTGAAATATAAAAGAAACTGGTGCTTAGTTTACCATCTTGCATCAATTGAAGGTACACTCACGTGTTTTTGACTTTTTGGACGCCTTAATTTCGCTGCGCTTTAGCTGTACCTATGAGTCGCCAACTGAACTAAACGCACGACTGGGTATCTGTAAACCTTTTACTCCCAATAGTTTCTTCCTCTCCCGATGTACAATAAAGCATAAGGTCTCACGGACTCTGTCCCTGTATTTTATTTCATTATTTATCGTACATACATATAACTGTCTAACATGATCATAGCTTACCATTATTCATAAAAATCAAATAGATAATTTCATACATGGAAATTCGAATCATACGTAGTAATAAATTTCACTTGACTTGCAGTTATTTCGAAACCATGAGTCTCATGGACGCCAGTAAGAAGACAATAAAAAGAGCTATAAAATTACACTATAAGTTGAGTCTTAAGTTAAACGACCTTCAAAATAAATGATATAATGCTGCTGATAACGCTCTTTTAGATTTTTCCGATATTTTATAATGCATTATAACAACAGGGAGATATTGTAGACGGTACCGCACAAATGCATGTAAAAATTATTTTCGTCTTAACAATTATATCCTATTTTTTGTCTTCCTAGGTCTCTTCTCTCTAATTTCATGACTTTCTGTGGCTTTTATTCGGATGTCTTTGATTTTCTTCTTGTTACTTTTAAAATTGACATGAGACACGGCAGTGTAAACCGTCGTGTTATGATGTCAGATCCTGTATCGATGCTGAAGGATATTTGAGAAAAATAAATATTTCTCTATGGCTTTCTTCTTAGAATTCTCTAACCTTTTCTATCTTTTCATAAGTGATTATACTAAAAAATGAACAACTCAAAATTTTATTTGGATTGATTGTTACTTGTTATTATTTTGGATTGTATGAAGGCATATCTACCTCCATAACTTGATGTTAAGCATATATAAGGTATTTTTCTTCCAGAAAATCTAATTTGTTTATACAGGATTTTGGCGCAAACAACTGGATCATATTTTTGCACATTTAAAACTATATACAAATAATAATTCAGAGTTTCGTGCTTCTATCGGTCAACCAAGATTTGGCAAAGTAAGTTTTATTCCTGTTACAAGTTAATTGTCTATGTCACTTTCTGCACGAGTTTGTCTACTTTTATCTTACTAACGGAATTTTCGCTCCGTTAAGATTTAATGCTTACAATCGAGATAAATTAATACAATTTGGAGGTTTGCGGGGATTTATTTATTGATTTCAGGCTGGTATTCATCATGAACTAACATCAATCGGAGAAGCATTGGAAACCTGGGAGTAGCAGTGGTATTCTGTTCCGTCCTAGTATAGACTCTTCAACAGTGCACACCCATGACTGCGCCAGGGACCATGGGGGTAGTGAATGCGCACTGTTGAGGAGTGCCATAGTAGGACAAAACAGCCGTTCAGTGCTCCTAGGTTTCCAGTGTTCCTCCAACTTATATTAGTCCATGTTGAATACCAACCTGAAATAAAACAATGGTTTGAACTGATTAAGTTGGCCTTTATAGGTTATTCTGGAAATTTTACACCTGTCACCTTGGTTGTAATGGTAGTTAATTCGTATTTACATTTTCCCAGTTCAATATATTCACGGATGTGTACACGTATTAAAGATAGTTTCTTATGGTAACTGAGTGCAACTTTCTATGGATGTCGTTTCCTCATTCTGAAAAGTGCTACCAAGGAAAACATTTTCTTTTACCTAATCTGTTCGGTAGATTGTAACCATGGTAACATAAGACAAGTATTTCATCTCATATTAGAATAATTAAGTAAATGACAATAATTATGATTTCCTGCTGCTTTTTCCCATAGACCTATTGTACAGTTTATATCTTAGAGTTTCCGTGTTTATTCATTCAACAGTGTTGATTGACAACGAGTTATTATCTGGCTAAACGTGTAGAGGATGGAGGAAAATAGAGAAATAGAATGTGTGTATTCAATCTAAGGTGGCCTATTTACAGAGACATTTGATTAAGAGGAATATTTGAAAAAGATTTTACTGTAAATTAACGATCATTGGATTCTATATGTAAAGGGTGATGCCGTTCTTTCTGAGTCCATAGTTTTTCTCTTTCCGTCACTTAAAATAATGGGTGTAAACTGTTCACTTTAAATTTTACTGACCTCTGATAAAAATAAACGTTAGTTAAGGATTTTTTGTATTACACTGTTTACTATGTACTATCCTTTATAAACTCTCAATGCAAAAATCAATAGTTTTTTTCTGAGGACAATAATAAACTGTATAAATCATGTGATATCTTACATAGTTGAATTTTTAATCTGGGAACGTGACTTTGAAGAAAGCTACATTAAATAGCTTAGTTTTTTGATTCTTTAATTAACAGTTTCAAGCAACGTGCACAAAAATTGCATAAATCGGTTTAACGTTTATTCATAAAATGCCTAAATTATGTTTGTTCATAATCTTGCTATACTTCTCTCACTGTTCAACAGATAAATCTCTCCTATTCGTTTGCTAGATACCTTTCTGAAAATTACATTACCAAAAGTAATCTTCTAGTTGTATTCTCTACTTTGGTAGACTTTGTAATTTCATCAAAATATGACATAGTCACATGAAATTAAAATCTTTCACATTTTGTCAATTGATCATTATGTGGCATTTTTGCTTGAATATGTTTTTGTATGGATTGTAAGATTGATTTGAAATAAGATTAAGAAGTGAAACAGCTTGCTCATCTGTATTGCTTACTAGTAGTCGGATTTTTATGTTCACATTTCCATTCATTCAATATTTATTGGTAACATAAAGAAACTACAATCAAATCAATATATTTGATGTATAAAGCTCTAAATTAATGACTTTTTAAAGGAAGTGAAACGTTTTACAAGAGCAAAGTATGCAATTACATACTGACAATTCATTTCATATGTTTAGTGATGTATGAATTGTTCACTTTCCTATTACAAAATGAGAGGGTTATCTTGTAATTTATATCCGTCGTTAGAAGATAAGATGGTCTGCTTGAACTCTAGACAAACAAACATTTCCCAATAAACATAATGCAGCAAATTATTTCTTTCAAACTTGTTTTAATCATTCGAACATATATTCAAATCGTTTTATGTACTGTTGAATACTTTCAGCCGGCTATTTAGCAAGTTAACTATAAAGTTAAAGAAAAACATCCTGGTGTTAGGCAACAGATACATAAACGCACAACAATACATCAGATAACTATTCCTGGAATAGTTAGGTCTAACTGCAAATTTTCATACTGACTAAATAGATCACGACTATTACTACCAAACTTACGCACGCCTTCCTATTGGTCCTTTTATCTTCACATAAGACGAGAACTTCACAGCAACTGGTCATTGTATATTATTGCTTGTAATACTGTTATTATTAACGTTATCTAGATGCTGTAATTGTTTCATTTGAAATATTTTCTTATACAGGTTCATAAATTATTAGGGTGTTAGATCAATAAAATGATCACTCTATGGGAAGTCTTCATGAACAGTAGAACATCTAAATTATAAGTTTCCACCCACTTCATTGTAAACGAGTACTAGTAGTGTTCGCTTAACCTAATTCAATAAATACGGGCACGTATATTACTTAGATAAGAAAACACCAAACCCCGTCAAAAGTTTATTATGCAGCAAGTATTCTCTGAAATTTACTAACTCCCTTAAAATTACTAGATGAAGAGCATCTACTGTCCATTCACTTCTTATGAAATATTTCTGTACCACAATATCCTATATGGATGATTCACGAAGTCTGATCACCAAATGAAACGTTTGGAAACGTCAGGAACAATATATCAAGCAGGGAAAGTCAACACCCTGAAGAAAACCCTCTCAGTATTTAAACGTTATATTTACATGTAAATGTGGTCAAAAAATCATGTAGAAAAATTATCAATTTGTGCAGCTAAAGACCATAGAACTCACTCTAATGTGATAACAAATCAAATCGAACAACTTCATTGACCGAGGTAATAGATGTAAAACTTTACCTACAGCTAAATAAATGTTTAAAACTGGTCTCAAGGTTCAATTTTTGCACATCTTTCAAACCTATTTGTGGAACTTATTAGGTGAACATTCTTAATTTAGTTTATTCTTTGACTATCAAAACGTTCCAACCTTTTTTATCCATTCAAAAACAATTTGTTGTTGCATTAGTCATTTATCAGTAACTCAACTTTAACAAGGTTTACTTACATATCCCTTTTTTCTTTCTACCTGTGACTGGGATAACTTAACCAATAATAAAATCCTCTTTTTATTGATATTTCAACTCCACTTTATCGTTTATTATCTTATGCATTTGCATAGATAGTACATATGTGATCAGGTTGCACAAAACGTGTAGTCTAAATACATTAGACTTTTTAGATTAATTGCAGCTAACTGTTGTTAAATAGAAATTATTGAGGTGAATAAAGTACTTTTTATTTTAAAAGTGAATAGAATTGAATTCTAATACAAGTAAATTGACCAACACTATAAGAGAAGCTCTAAAAACAGCAAGAATAAAATGCCCCCATCGACTACTTAATCGGATTCCTAGCTGGTATCACTTTTCTTCTTCATTAAAGTCTTCAGAAAAATGGTTAACATTGTATCTAGCAATCAAAATATGCCCCAAACATACTTCGTATAAAGTCACCCATTTACAACGAATACAAGTAGACAGTTACAGACAAAGTAAAAGATACTCACAACGAAATAAAATCTTAAAATGGATTCCTTTCCATAACTATACACTCATAGAGATATCATGTAAAAAACTACATATTTCACACCAAATTTGCACTCATCAGTCAAAAACAAAAAAGTATTCGAAGTGAATTAATCAATCGGCTAGCCACAAAATACACAAATATATCCTTATCCCTTCCCCTTGCTTCCTCCTCGAACATAGAGCTTCAGTAGCACGTCACCATTCGACTCTGTTCCCTGCAGTCATCTCAACCTTGCACCACGACTTCCCAGAAGCTCTCATTTCTTCCTCACACGATCTCCTCCATGTTACCCTCACCTCGGACGCCCAACTTGTCATCTCCCATTTGGGTTGCACTCGACGGCCTGCTCTGACGCGTTATGTACCCAGTCGGCCTTCTCAGTGTATCCCCAATCAAATCCATATCCACTTTCTTCTGAATATTTGTTGGGCGATGGTTCTTGGTTGGTTCGTTGCCAGTCAGAGTGAGTTCCTTGTTGCTTATTCTTATTATTCTGGCCATCTGATCTGATCTTCAGTACGAAGTGAGCGTAGACGGCAGCTGTTGATGAATGTCTGTAGTTTGTTGGAAATGCTTTTCGTGAGGCCCCAAGTTTCTGAAGTATATAGCAGCACTGACTTGACATGGGTGTTAAAAATCCGGATCTTGTTCACACTTTATGCTGAGTGGAGTAGATCTCCACGCTGATTTCAGATGAATGAAAGCTTGTCTTGCTTTTCCGATGCTGGCTTTGACATCGTCATCTGTGCCTGTGCCACCTGTAGTTGAAACGATGCTGCCTAGGTAGGTAGGTGAAAGAGACAAGTTCCTTTAAGTTTCTCGCATTGATGGTGATTGGAGCTTGTTGTTGTTGGTTGGGTATCCTCATCACCTCCATCTTCTCTACTTTCACCTGAAGGAAGTCCCATCTTTGGCATCCTACCTCTTCTGTCAACTTGTTAGTTTTTGTCTGTAGATCTTCGAGTTTGTGCGACATTAGATACAAGTCGTCGGCGAAATCCAAATCTTCTTCTGGGGTCTTTTCATCGATGAAGCAGCCCATGCCCTCTTCTCACTCCTGACAGTTTGCTGCATGATGCAGTCGACCACAATCAGGAGGATCATCGGTGATGATAGTCGGAGGCCTTGTCTTACTCCTGTCTCACCTCAAAGACATCACTCAGCTTTCCATTGTGAATCACTTAGCATGTAGCGTCGTTATATAGTTGTTGAATGAGGTTGATAAAGGTTTGTGGCACTAAGACCGTAGTGTTGAAGCAGTTTCCAAAGTACTTCTTGGTCGACGCTGTTGAGATTGATGAAGTTGAGGTAGAGAGTTGACTGCCATTCTATGTTGTGTTCTATGATGATGAGTAGTGTGTAGCGTTGCAGTTTTATCCGCACATGATTTGTTTTTCCTGAAGTCAGGCAGCCAGCCAGCCTGTTCCTGTGATGATTTTGAATCCAGCTCATCTTTTAGTCTCTCCAGGATGATGTGGCATAATATTTTGGTTTGTGTGGACAGCAGCATGATTCCTCGCCAGTTGTTGCAAAGTGCTTAGGTCTCCCTTGTTTGAGAGTTTGACAAGGTGACCGTTCTTGCAATCGATCAGCAGGTACCTTTTCTTCCTTGCTTGCCAACCTTCTGCAATAGTGGTGTGAGCATGTCCGCTGTTGTCTCTGTGTCTGTTTTCAGTGCTTCCGGTGTAATTCCAGCTGGTCCTGCTGCTTTGTCGGATTTCAGAAGTTTTGTGTCATTCAGGACTTCTGCTTTTGTCGGTTGGCCTGTGTTTACTTGTAGTTCTGACGTTGCTGGTGGTATTTGTGGATGATTTGCAGGTGATGGTGGTGGTGGTGGTCGATTCAAGAGCTTTTTGAAGTGGTCAGCCCATTGTTTCCTTTGTTTCTCCTCTTTGGTAACCACGTTTCCTTCACTATCTTTCATTGGTTTCGTTCGTGTTGATCTCTTTCGGGATAGTAGCCTGATTATTTGATACAATGTTGTCAGGTATCTCCTACCAGCAGCCTGTTCGACTTTACTACTTGCCAATGTGTCGTAGAGGTGTCTTTTGTCTTTTTCACTTATTTGTCTAGTGTAGTGTTTTCTAGGTTGTGTTCAGTTCCTCCTTCTGTTGTTCATCCCTACACCTGCACTGCACTGCACTGCACTGCACTGCGGTGCGCTGGTCCATCTTCTGCTTCATCATCTTCCTTTCCCTGCTCTATAAGCTTCCATGTGTCCGTCGAGATCGATTCCTTGCCTTGTTTCTTCTTCCTTCCTAACGTGGTTATGCAGATTTCCTTCCACGACTCTCTCAAAGAGTTTCAGTGTTCTTCCACCCAGGTTTCCTCTTAGATGTTGCTTAATGTTTCTCATTTTGTTCCGATGGCTGACGTGAAGATGTGCTTTGTAGTTTCGTGCTTCAGTCTGTGTTCTGGGTGTTGAACTTGAACTGTGGTGTATCATCACCAGCTTCTTTGAAGGCTTTCAACTTGATTTTGAAGGTAAGTTACTTGAACTAGATAGTGAGTGGTGTGAGCCTACATCTGCTCCTCTTGTTCATCTTGTTTGCGTCCAGTAGGCCGGCTTTGTCTCTAGTTTCTTGAGATTGAAATGAAGTCGATCTGATTTTGAGTGTGGTGTGTCCAGGTGTCTGGTGAAATCCGTGTCACTTTGTGAATATCCTTGTGTTTGTGCACAGTGCCTGCAACCACCAAATCGTTGAGTGCGCAGAAGTCTGCAAAGAGTTCTCCATTCTGATTCACCATCTCACCGAGTGCCTTTCGACCGATGATGAGTTGTCTTCCTGTGTTGTCCGCTCGTAGTTTGGCATTCATGTCACCTGTTAGAATGGATTTTGATGTTGCCATATGGGATGGGGTCCTGTCGATTAGTGATTGTAGTTGTCTTTAGAATTCCTCCTTCTTCTCTTGATCCGCATTATTTGCAGGTGCTTAGCGTAGCGTGGCATTGTATGATTGTGACTTTCCTTCCTTTTGATTTGAATCTTGCTGTCATGATCTTGATCCTGGAGGAGACTGGTTCCCACTGCATGAGAGCCTACGGTGCGGTTGAGGACATCATGATAGCCACTGGAAAACTCAGTGTGCTTGTGACTGTCGTCTGGGTGACAATATCGGAGTAGATTATTGACTCCTCTGCAGTTGACAGTTTGGAGAATCCACTTCCGTTTCATCTGCTTTTGCAGATTCCAAGCACTACTTCTATGCTATATCTTCTCATCTGCTTCTCGATCTGGGCAGCCTTGGTAGGTTCGTGCATGGTGCGGACATTCCATGTCGCCATCCTTACTTTTACTTTCATCGAGAGAAGAGGAGATATATCGGCTGACTGGCTTCCTGCAGGCTTTGACCAACCGGCGTCATTTCGTCTCTCCGATTCCAGCGAGGAATAAGTTTGTTTTTATGTTATATATTTTGTTTGTGCTTTGAAGTTTCTTTAGTGATTGGATTGGTTTTATGGGATAGAGTTGTTAGCCCTATGTTCAATTTCCTTCTTTATCTGAACGTAGGCGAGAACTGTGTTGAAGTCTGCGTGTGTCATTGGAAAGTGAAATTCATTTGCTGAGTAGTAACATTGATTGTATAAAGTTGAAAATGTATATCAGCCTTTTAGCGATAATGACGGAAGAAGGAAGATGATTATATTTGAGTTGTTAATGTCAGTCCGTGATGAATATCAACTTCAAAGATCACTAAATATCCTCAAATCCATTAACTGAATTCCAAAATAATTTCGAAAATAAGAACTTGGATTCCCCAAAAGGGTCAAAGACTTGACACTCATTACGGTATAAATTCCAGCGTTTGAATACTCTCTGTTCATTTTGCAAAGTGGATTCTAACAACAGCTGTAATTCAAGAGTTTTGATTTGCTCAGAAACATTATTGTCAGTGTTTTGTGTATATAAATTTTACTAAAAGGAGCTAGTAAGCTTTCCCCCCCCCCTTCATCTTTTATATAATTAATAAATAAAGGAAACCCAGTCAACCAAATTCAGTTAAAGCAATCAGTTTATTTTATTTTTTGCCAATATTGTTGCTTTTTATGTCTTCAAGCTTTTGTCTGCTGACTTGTGTGAGGCATCAAACCAAGCGAAAATTACATTGATATATTCGCTATCAAATGATAAGAAGAATAATATATCTGAAACTGGTAATCATACAACTTCAAGTAAAATCACTCTCGATTCTGATTACGATGATGATAAACTTTCACACTTAAACAAATATCCAAGTCAACTAAAACAAAACCCAGATGATCTACGGAAAATTAATGGCCAAGATGGTTTCAAAGAGCAACAATCAAGTAATGGTAAATTATACGTTAGACAATCGCCTTCTTCATTTCCTTTGAAGGATGAGGACCAATATGAAACAATGCGTTCAAGTCCAAATCGGAAAGATCATACATACGGTATTAATGTTACCCAATTACCTCCTAAATCTCCTCAGGAAGGTGAGTATATGGTATTTTATTTCAGTATTCACAATATGGTTTAAATGATAGTGACTACTGAAAATATGATCAATTGCGAATAAATAAAAATGGTCTTGTTGGCATCCAGCCTATTGAAAACATACCAGTGTTTGACCTAGTCGTATTTGTTTGATGTTACCAACACACAATAGCACCAATTCGACCCTATCGGACACAGTGTACATATCCTGCCCACAGTTGAAAGAAAATAGACTTGATCATAAAAATCAACACGAAAAATCGAAGTAATAATGCAAGTTATCTGCTATGATGGGTAAAACTATATGTCTACCTGCCGGTTAGAATTTATCGGCTAACAACTAACCGTGATCAGCAATTTTCTGTCTGAAGTTCATATCATAACTATTTTATCTTGGTTATATCCTTGCACACAAGTGATTGTCTAGTCTCACTTATCTCTTAAAACCTCGACATTCCAATTTTCTGCAGCCCCAGTCATATTTTTGTTGGAACCGTTAATTACATAGCTTTGTGAATCATCTGAAGTTGACCTGACTTCATGAATAAACATGTGCGTATAAAGTCACGTCACTTCTAGGATGATTCGCCATAGTTTATCATTGGCATCTCCAAGTGTGGATATTGTTGGAATACATACAAGTATCTGTTGACAAGAAGTCTGGTCTTTTGTTGTTCAAACACTTCACCAATCACTTTAAATCAACCATATTACGCTAGTTACCTAAATTTTCAAGTTTTACTACTTGAGTAGTCTAGTCTGCAGTAAACTAGAAATCATTATAATAATTTTTGCCTGTTCATAAGTTAACTTTTTAACAAAATCGGAAAAAGAAGAACAGAAAGAATAAAATAGGCAGACTGACACTTTCTACATGTAAAAAATATGGTAAAACCAGATGTTGCATAAAACTCTATATTTGCGAAACGGGTATGACTAACCAGTATAGTCTCAGAAGATTATCCTTCCATGTTGGACGCATCCACTCATTAGATTTCTTATGTCTTCTTTTTCCTTTTAATTTATCCAGTCACAAAATATTAAATATTATGGAAGTTTCTTCTGAAGTCTTGATTTTCACCATTCCACGATGCTCAAACCTTAAATCAGAAAATGCATTGTCCAAACAAACGGATCACTGACTTATACATGTAAAATACAGTCTCTTTTTATGATTGATAAAGTCTCTGAAGTCCTGAGGTTTTGTGCAATTGCTTGGTGATATAAATATGGACAATAAGTTATGTCGGGAACGTTATCCAGTAATTAATACTCTTTCGCTGTTTTGAAATTTCTAATAGACAGACTAAAATGAGAGTAATCAGCTTTTTTCCTGAATGAAAAGAGATATTCATACTTTGATTCAGATATGATTTGGCTGATTGTGGTGACTAGTCCATATATTTATAAATACTAGTCTGCCAAACTACGGCTAGCTCAGATAGTCAAATGATAGTCTATATATCACTTTAAACCTTAACCTCTTGTATGGCTCAACTTCCTCGGGTTTTAATGCACCCTTTGAAAAAAGTCCTGTGTTGCAGTCTGTTCTCACAAATATAGGCGAGCAGATCTGTTACAGTTATTTAGCTTCTTGTTGACAACTCTTGACATTTAACCTCTGGGTAACATCGAAGTGATTTCTTTCATTGCATGTCTAACGATCGCCTCTGACGGTGACTGCTTGACAAGTGTTGCCTCCTCTAGGTCAGCTCATTATTGACGCAGAAACTTTTGTATAGCATCAACTGGTATCACATCTCACTACTTCTTAATCGGTACCTCTAGAAGCACTCAACAGTGGCTTTTATTCCGAACACCAGTTCTCAGTGATGTGCTGGCCAGTATTCCTGATCCTTAGCCCTACAACGACAAAACACCTACCACTGCACGGACTCTAACCACTATCAGTGACTCTTATTCTTAATTGAACTTATTTTCCTTTTGGGAACCTCGTGAAACATAGGGCTTCAGTAGCACGTCACCATTCGACTCTGTTCCCTGCAGTCATCTCAACCTTGCACCACGACTTCCCAGAAGCTCTCATTTCTTCCTCACACGATCTCCTCCATGTTACCCTCACCTCGGACGCCCAACTTGTCATCTCCCATTTGGGTTGCACTCGACGGCCTGCTCTGACGCGTTATGTACCCAGTCGGCCTTCTCAGTGTATCCCCAATCAAATCCATATCCACTTTCTTCTGAATATTTGTTGGGCGATGGTTCTTGGTTGGTTCGTTGCCAGTCAGAGTGAGTTCCTTGTTGCTTATTCTTATTATTCTGGCCATCTGATCTGATCTTCAGTACGAAGTGAGCGTAGACGGCAGCTGTTGATGAATGTCTGTAGTTTGTTGGAAATGCTTTTCGTGAGGCCCCAAGTTTCTGAAGTATATAGCAGCACTGACTTGACATGGGTGTTAAAAATCCGGATCTTGTTCACACTTTATGCTGAGTGGAGTAGATCTCCACGCTGATTTCAGATGAATGAAAGCTTGTCTTGCTTTTCCGATGCTGGCTTTGACATCGTCATCTGTGCCTGTGCCACCTGTAGTTGAAACGATGCTGCCTAGGTAGGTAGGTGAAAGAGACAAGTTCCTTTAAGTTTCTCGCATTGATGGTGATTGGAGCTTGTTGTTGTTGGTTGGGTATCCTCATCACCTCCATCTTCTCTACTTTCACCTGAAGGAAGTCCCATCTTTGGCATCCTACCTCTTCTGTCAACTTGTTAGTTTTTGTCTGTAGATCTTCGAGTTTGTGCGACATTAGATACAAGTCGTCGGCGAAATCCAAATCTTCTTCTGGGGTCTTTTCATCGATGAAGCAGCCCATGCCCTCTTCTCACTCCTGACAGTTTGCTGCATGATGCAGTCGACCACAATCAGGAGGATCATCGGTGATGATAGTCGGAGGCCTTGTCTTACTCCTGTCCTCACCTCAAAGACATCACTCAGCTTTCCATTGTGAATCACTTAGCATGTAGCGTCGTTATATAGTTGTTGAATGAGGTTGATAAAGGTTTGTGGCACTAAGACCGTAGTGTTGAAGCAGTTTCCAAAGTACTTCTTGGTCGACGCTGTTGAGATTGATGAAGTTGAGGTAGAGAGTTGACTGCCATTCTATGTTGTGTTCTATGATGATGAGTAGTGTGTAGCGTTGCAGTTTTATCCGCACATGATTTGTTTTTCCTGAAGTCAGGCAGCCAGCCAGCCTGTTCCTGTGATGATTTTGAATCCAGCTCATCTTTTAGTCTCTCCAGGATGATGTGGCATAATATTTTGGTTTGTGTGGACAGCAGCATGATTCCTCGCCAGTTGTTGCAAAGTGCTTAGGTCTCCCTTGTTTGAGAGTTTGACAAGGTGACCGTTCTTGCAATCGATCAGCAGGTACCTTTTCTTCCTTGCTTGCCAACCTTCTGCAATAGTGGTGTGAGCATGTCCGCTGTTGTCTCTGTGTCTGTTTTCAGTGCTTCCGGTGGAATTTCAGCTGGTCCTGCTGCTTTGTCGGATTTCAGAAGTTTTGTGTCATTCAGGACTTCTGCTTTTGTCGGTTGGCCTGTGTTTACTTGTAGTTCTGACGTTGCTGGTGGTATTTGTGGATGATTTGCAGCTGATGGTGCTGATGGTGGTGGTGGTGGTGGTCGATTCAAGAGCTTTTTGAAGTGGTCAGCCCATTGTTTCCTTTGTTTCTCCTCTTTGGTAACCACGTTTCCTTCACTATCTTTCATTGGTTTCGTTCGTGTTGATCTCTTTCGGGATAGTAGCCTGATTATTTGATACAATGTTGTCAGGTATCTCCTACCAGCAGCCTGTTCGACTTTACTACTTGCCAATGTGTCGTAGAGGTGTCTTTTGTCTTTTTCACTTATTTGTCTAGTGTAGTGTTTTCTAGGTTGTGTTCAGTTCCTCCTTCTGTTGTTCATCCCTACACCTGCACTGCACTGCACTGCGCTGCACTACACTGCACTGCACTGCAGTGCGGTGCGGTGCGGTGCGATGCGGTGCGCTGTTCCATCTTCTGCTTCATCATCTTCCTTTCCCTGCTCTATAAGCTTCCATGTGTCCGTCGAGATCGATTCCTTGCCTTGTTTCTTCTTCCTTCCTAACGTGGTTATGCAGATTTCCTTCCACGACTCTCTCAAAGAGTTTCAGTGTTCTTCCACCCAGGTTTCCTCTTAGATGTTGCTTAATGTTTCTCATTTTGTTCCGATGGCTGACGTGAAGATGTGCTTTGTAGTTTCGTGCTTCAGTCTGTGTTCTGGGTGTTGAACTTGAACTGTGGTGTATCATCACCAGCTTCTTTGAAGGCTTTCAACTTGATTTTGAAGGTAAGTTACTTGAACTAGATAGTGAGTGGTGTGAGCCTACATCTGCTCCTCTTGTTCATCTTGTTTGCGTCCAGTAGGCCGGCTTTGTCTCTAGTTTCTTGAGATTGAAATGAAGTCGATCTGATTTTGAGTGTGGTGTGTCCAGGTGTCTGGTGAAATCCGTGTCACTTTGTGAATATCCTTGTGTTTGTGCACAGTGCCTGCAACCACCAAATCGTTGAGTGCGCAGAAGTCTGCAAAGAGTTCTCCATTCTGATTCACCATCTCACCGAGTGCCTTTCGACCGATGATGAGTTGTCTTCCTGTGTTGTCCGCTCGTAGTTTGGCATTCATGTCACCTGTTAGAATGGATTTTGATGTTGCCATATGGGATGGGGTCCTGTCGATTAGTGATTGTAGTTGTCTTTAGAATTCCTCCTTCTTCTCTTGATCCGCATTATTTGCAGGTGCTTAGCGTAGCGTGGCATTGTATGATTGTGACTTTCCTTCCTTTTGATTTGAATCTTGCTGTCATGATCTTGATCCTGGAGGAGACTGGTTCCCACTGCATGAGAGCCTACGGTGCGGTTGAGGACATCATGATAGCCACTGGAAAACTCAGTGTGCTTGTGACTGTCGTCTGGGTGACAATATCGGAGTAGATTATTGACTCCTCTGCAGTTGACAGTTTGGAGAATCCACTTCCGTTTCATCTGCTTTTGCAGATTCCAAGCACTACTTCTATGCTATATCTTCTCATCTGCTTCTCGATCTGGGCAGCCTTGGTAGGTTCGTGCATGGTGCGGACATTCCATGTCGCCATCCTTACTTTTACTTTCATCGAGAGAAGAGGAGATATATCGGCTGACTGGCTTCCTGCAGGCTTTGACCAACCGGCGTCATTTCGTCTCTCCGATTCCAGCGAGGAATAAGTTTGTTTTTATGTTATATATTTTGTTTGTGCTTTGAAGTTTCTTTAGTGATTGGATTGGTTTTATGGGATAGAGTTGTTGGCCCTATGCCTGATTTCGCTCTTTATGCGGTCTTAGTTCTGGTAGGTAAATAGGGAACTGGTTGAGTAGGCGAGGTTTTCTGTGACTATTTTTTATGGTATATTGTGTCGCTAGTGGTTTTTAATCGGATGACTTACACAATCGTTGATCACTTGTGAATATCATCTAGGAAATCTATGTACACTTTGCTGCTATGTGACGGGTGAAGTTATTTTGAACGCAGGATCATGCAGTGTGATTGCGCCATCTCACAGGAGTTAGCTGGTAGGGATGTTTCCGTTTTTTAATTTTATATCTAATGTATGATGATGTCTGTGGTATTCTGATACATCTTTCACGGCAGGCATGTCTTTTGATTAAGGAATGCGGTCTGGGTCCAAGTATTTACCTCTAGCATAAAGCGTGTAATGTTGAGGTACTCAGCGAACCTCAGTAAAAGCCAACCTTTCTCTGCGTAGAATCATATCCATCGTTCGCATCATAAATAGTCAGAGAAACTACTTGGTAACTTAGGTACGTTATTAGCACGTTTATCGTTTGTAATGATTTGAATAATGCACCTCGTTTACTAAACAAATTCAATGAGACTCATACCTACTATAAATTTCCGGTGGAGTATGAGTATGACAACGAGTTTTAGTTTTGGGACTACAAGGTGAAAAGAAGAAGTTATGTAACCATCCTGAAGAGTATTCACTAGAAACATACACGAACTGGACATTAAATAGTAACTCCTGTCCCACCAGTTATACTCATGAACAACTCAAAACGCTTTATGGCACAGATGGAAATATGTTCTGCAAGAAAAAAGAGTTAAACACCATTTAAAAGTGTCTCATAAAGAATGGATACCCTAAGCGATCATGAAGTATGCAGAAGAACAAATCGATACAACTGAACACTCGACTTTTGTGAATCAAGTTTTTATTCTCTTTACATTCAAGGGGAATCTAGTATCTAAGGGAATAAATAGTAGGATCGAAGGAGTACTAAAAAAGAAGTTTCCCAACTGCCAAATGTGTATCACTGTGCGATATTGTTTGCTCATTCAACCATTCCATACTGATAAATATCTTTCTAATGTCACCTCCAACTGAGTTTGTGAAATTACACGCATTCGACGTAGTAGTTACACTGAAAGGAACGGGAGGACAGCATTCATTCAGTTCTTTCAGCATATTCTGAAAAATAAAGTACTGGCCGGTGAAATTAACAAAAACGTCGTAGATACAAGACATCATTTTGATGTTCCTAGTTCTTTTAAAAACTCTGAATGTGTAAGGAATACCTTGACCATTAGGCTTCATGAAAACTATTGCTATAAAAGATTCCCAACTCTATCTATGAGTACATGAAAAGAGCATAATTAATTTCTCACTCCTGTGGGGAACGTATTTTGATATAGTTTCATTTTAACTGGATAATTTTTAATTTGCTCACCAAAACTCGACTCTCTGTGTTGATCTCAATCTTATGGATGCCATTTCTCTGCGTGTTATATTATATATATAAAATATCAATTTCTGTTTTTCGTACCTTGTTTAGTTCTTTCTACAATTCTTTGAACTTCTGTTTCACTTCTGCGTCTCTCCCTCCCTCTCTCCTACCTAGTGGATATGATATTCACTGAATCGAATGGTTTATTAACCTAGTCGCAGTTTTTCAGAAGTAAATTAATTTCAGTCAGCTGTTATTTGACCCTTGTCACTTCTGATAACCATGAGACGTTACCTGACCAACTTTAATTCATATCTAAGAATAGGTTAATGACCCCAGTCAATTTGTTATGACATGCAAAATTGATGATGCTCTTTTCTCAATGGTTCAAAATTTGGAACTGAGCCTTATTTCTGATCATTTAATATGTTGCGGAGGTGTCATTAATTAATTTTACTAGCTCCATGTGTTAGCAGAATAAGGTTAAGAACTTTTATGTATTAGATTTAATGGTCTGTGAACTCCTATCTGACTGTTTGCTTCAGGTGCATCAGATATTTTCCCCTCCTAAAAATAGTCACTTCATTTACTTTGAGCGTTATGACATTTTTGATTTTGTTAACCAAACTAAAACATTGGTCAACAGGTCTTCGAATGCCTCATATGTAAATTACTTAATCGCTGAAGCAACTATACTGTAAAGGAACACAAATGCAGAAGAGTTATTTCCACTGGAAATTCTATGGAAATCTTGAGAGTTTAATTGTTATGCCAGACTGCAGTTTTATACGCACTGCATGGAGCTAGTCGATGGAGTCGAACCAAATCACTATCCTTATGTCATATAGCAGAAAGATGACTGATCATCGTATTGAAAGTCAATATAGAAATCAAGACTTTCTTGATATATTATGTTACATCTCGGTAGCCTGCTTAACATTTTGGGCTGCTGAAAAGTTTTCGTCGTATATATTACACCGAATTGCTCCTTTTGATTGCTCAGATTTCTAGAAAACGTACTCTTGCAGTGTTTCCAACCTATCATCACACAGGTCTACAACAAAATTACAGAAAAACATGACGGTAGAGAGCAGTAGGCTCTTGAGCGCACAGCAGTTCATCATATAACGATTACAGGAATAGTTAACAGGAACAGCAAATTTTTATCCTGGCTGAATGATCCTTCACCACCAAACCAACGGTTGCGTTTCTATTCACCCCCACCCCCGTGCAACAATGTATCCACAAACTAGACGATCACTGAAAAACAACTGATCGTTGTATTTTATTGTGAAGCATACTGTTGTTAATAACGTTAAGCGTGATGGTTATTGAATTTGAAAATACTATGCTAGAAGTAAATTTGTTGAAATATCACACCGATAATTCTATACTTTATGAAAAATTATTATCTAGAATGAAGTGATAGTTGTTACAGAAGGACTAGTAGTTCTGTCTTCAGACATAACTATAATAAATCATTAATGATAGCCACAGACGAAACTTATAAAAATGACTGGATTGGACTTATAAGATCTTTAAGTTAAAAACACTTTACCTGGCAACGGTAAATACTACGTCTTTTTTACCATCGCATTGCTATCTGTGATTTCTTTTTTGCATTTCAGTATGAATAGCATTGGTTTACAAAAGACACATTAAGTTTCTCAAACAATTTCACTTGTATTCAAATCTTGTCTGTGATAAGTTAATGTTCTTATTTCCTCATTACACTTCCTTCTAATAATAGTGGTATGAAAGATCTTTCTGATTTCATCGATAACATTAAACTAAATTATTGTACTTGGCAACATTTTAAAGATAGCCTTATTCTGGAAGAAGTTATTTGATCTTTCGAAACCATATTGTGTGAAAACACTACAATTGTTCAACATTGTAGCGATTTTCTCCCGAATCCATCATATTTTTATGTGAATTTTAGATTTTTAATTGTGTATTAATCGAGAGGTTTCAGTAGGGTCTGTGTGTAAACTTAACAAAGATGTTTAAATACAATTTCTAAGATGATACATTCGTTTATTGCTTTTCCTGTAGTCTATGAGAATAAAAGTAAGACTAGTTCAATAGAACCAGAGGAAGATGAATCAAGGCATATTACAAAATCAAATAAATCTATAAGTTCAACGAGACAAGACAAGTCGTCTCGATTACATTCAAATCCCCATGCACAATATGGTGAAACGGGTGTTGCTCTACTAAGAAATTCCAAGTTATCAGTATGTTGCATCAATTCATTTCTAAGGATTTTGTCTACAACTGTACTGTTATCGCATAAACAACCAAGGTCTTACTTATTGGTGTCTACTATTTTATCATATTTATTTTTATATAATACATATATTAGGTAAATCAAAAAAAAGATTACAGTATACCGGTTGGTATCGTCGCCTCTTTGAAAAACCAATACAGTCTTTTTATTTATCAAGCGAGTACTGCTGCACATAAATGAAATCATTTCTCAATTCAATGAGTATATCGAATACCACTGTACAGTATCATTTATATAAACGAAAAATGAACAGTTCACTTTTATCAAAAAAAAAAAACAGAAACTCAGCTCTAATGATAAATAGGATTGTGTACTCAACTGTAGACTAATTGTGTTACGTATAACTCGATAATTAAATGGAATATTATGTGAATTCTGGATCCTTTGGTTAAGAGTTATAGGTTCAGAATAGTGAGATTTTATAGGTCGTATTGTCTGCAAATCAAGTTTGCAAAATCAGTCACTCAGAATTAAGTCATCAGACTACTACTAGGTTATCCAGCGTCTCGTTAATTTTGTGTCTAATCACTTTACTGAAATTTCTTTTATCCATATTTTATGCATTTCCTCTTATTTTTACAATAGTTTCTTGGTCAATAGCAGTATGCTGAATTTAAACTTCTGCCAGTTCATTAGCGTCTAACTTCAATAAGCTCAGTCCAGATGCGAAAATTATTCATGCCACCTATATCTAAGCACCTAACCTAGATTAACAATAAATATTGGTATGATTCCTTAACTATTATTATTTATCCCTTGAGTTCCTAGTGCAAAATAGGGCTTCAGTAGCACGTCATCATTCGACTCTGTTCTCTGCAGTCATCTCAACCTTGCACCACGACTTCCCAGAAGCTCTCATTTCTTCCTCACACGATCTCCTCCATGTCACCCTCACCTCGGACGCCCAACTTGTCATCTCCCATTTGGGTTGCACTCGACGGCCTGCCCTGACGCGTTATGTACCCAGTCGGCCTTCTCAGTGTATCCTCAATCAAATCCATATCCACTTTCTTCTGAATATTTGTTGGGCGATGGTTCTTGGTTGGTTCGTTGCCAGTCAGAGTGAGTTCCTTGTTGCTTATTCTTATTATTCTGGCCATCTGATCTGATCTTCAGTATGAAGTGAGCGTAGACGGCAGCTGTTGATGAATGTCTGTAGTTTGTTGGAAATGCTTTTCGTGAGGCCCCAAGTTTCTGAAGTATATAGCAGCACTGACTTGACATGGGTGTTAAAAATCCGGATCTTGTTCACACTTTATGCTGAGTGGAGTAGATCTCCACGCTGATTTCAGATGAATGAAAGCTTGTCTTGCTTTTCCGATGCTGGCTTTGACATCGTCATCTGTGCCTGTGCCACCTGTAGTTGAAACGATGCTGCCTAGGTAGGTAGGTGAAAGAGACAAGTTCCTTTAAGTTTCTCGCATTGATGGTGATTGGAGCTTGTTGTTGTTGGTTGGGTATCCTCATCACCTCCATCTTCTCTACGTTCACCTGAAGGAAGTCCCATCTTTGGCGTCCTACCTCTTCTGTCAACTTGTTAGTTTTTGTCTGTAGATCTTCGAGTTTGTGCGACATTAGATACAAGTCGTCGGCGAAATCCAAATCTTCTTCTGGGGTCTTTTCATCGATCAAGCAGCCCATGCCCTCTTCTCACTCCTGACAGTTTGCTGCATGATGCAGTCGACCACAATCAGGAGGATCATCGGTGATGATAGTCGGAGGCCTTGTCTTACTCCTGTCTTCACCTCAAAGACATCACTCAGCTTTCCATTGTGAATCACTTAGCATGTAGCGTCGTTATATAGTTGTTGAATGAGGTTGATAAAGGTTTGTGGCACTAAGACCGTAGTGTTGAAGCAGTTTCCAAAGTACTTCTTGGTCGACGCTGTTGAGATTGATGAAGTTGAGGTAGAGAGTTGACTGCCATTCTATGTTGTGTTCTATGATGATGAGTAGTGTGTAGCGTTGCAGTTTTATCCGCACATGATTTGTTTTTCCTGAAGTCAGGCAGCCAGCCAGCCTGTTCCTGTGATGATTTTGAATCCAGCGCATCTTTTAGTCTCTCCAGGATGATGTGGCATAATATTTTGGTTTGTGTGGACAGCAGCATGATTCCTCGCCAGTTGTTGCAAAGTGCTTAGGTCTCCCTTGTTTGAGAGTTTGACAAGGTGACCGTTCTTGCAATCGATCAGCAGGTACCTTTTCTTCCTTGCTTGCCAACCTTCTGCAATAGTGGTGTGAGCATGTCCGCTGTTGTCTCTGTGTCTGTTTTCAGTGCTTCCGGTGGAATTTCAGCTGGTCCTGCTGCTTTGTCGGATTTCAGAAGTTTTGTGTCATTCAGGACTTCTGCTTTTGTCGGTGGCCTGTGTTTACTTGTAGTTTTGACGTTGCTGGTGGTATTTGTGGATGATTTGCAGGTGATGGTGGTGGTGGTGGTCGATTCAAGAGCTTTTTGAAGTGGTCAACCCATTGTTTCCTTTGTTTCTCCTCTTTGGTAACCAAGTTTCCTTCACTATCTTTCATTGGTTTCGTCCGTGTTGATCTCTTTCGGGATAGTAGCCTGATTATTTGATACAATGTTGTCAGGTATCTCCTACCAGCAGCCTGTTCGACTTTACTACTTGCCAATGTGTCGTAGAGGTGTCTTTTGTCTTTTTCACTTATTTGTCTAGTGTAGTGTTTTCTAGGTTGTGTTCAGTTCCTCCTTCCGTTGTCCATCCCTACACCTGCACTGCACTGCACTGCACTGCACTGCACTGCACTGCGGTGCGCTGGTCCATCTTCTGCTTCATCATCTTCCTTTCCCTGCTCTATAAGCTTCCATGTGTCCGTCGAGATCGATTCCTTGCCTTGTTTCCTCTTTCTTCCTAACGTGGTTATGCAGATTTCCTTCCACGACTCTCTCAAAGAGTTTCAGTGTTCGTCCACCCAGGTTTCCTCGTAGATGTTGCTTAGTGTTTCGCATTTTGTTTCGATGGCTGACGTGAAGATGTGCTTTGTAGTTTCGTGCTTCAGTCTGTGTTCTGGGTGTTGAACTTGAACTGTGGTGTATCATCACCAGCTTCTTTGAAGGCTTCCAACTTGATTTTGAAGGTAAGTTACTTGAACTAGATAGTGAGTGGTGTGAGCCTACATCTGCTCCTCTTGTTCATCTTGTTTGCGTCCAGTAGGCTGGCTTTGTCTCCAGTTTCTTGAGATTGAAATGAAGTCGATCTGATTTTGAGTGTGGTGTGTCCAGGTGTCTGGTGAAATCCATGTCACTTTGTGAATATCCTTGTGTTTGTGCACAGTGCCTGCAACCACCAAATCGTTGAATGCGCAGAAGTCTGCAAAGAGTTCTCCATTCTGATTCACCATCTCACCGAGTGCCCTTAGACTGATGATGAGTTGTCTTCCTGTGTTGTCCGCTCGTAGTTTGGCATTCATGTCACCTGTTAGAATGGATTTTGATGTTGTCATCTGGGATGGGGTCCTGTCGATTAGTGATTGTAGTTGTCTTTAGAATTCCTCCTTCTTCTCTTGATCCGCATTATTTGCAGGTGCTTAGCGTGGCGTGGCATTGTATGATTGTGACTTTCCTTCCTTTTGATTTGAATCTTGCTGTCATGATCTTGATCCTGGAGGAGACTGGTTCCCACTGCATGAGAGCCTATGATGCGGTTGAGGACATCATGATAGCCACTGGAAAACTCAGTGTGCTTGTGACTGTCGTCTGGGTGACAATATCGGAGTAGATTATTGACTCCTCTGCAGTTGACAGTTTGGAGAATCCACTTCCGTTTCATCTGCTTTTGCAGATTCCAAGCACTAATTCTATGCTATATCTTCTCATCTCCTTCTCGATCTGGGCAGCCTTGGTAGGTTTGTGCATGGTGCGGACATTCCATGTCGCCATCCTTACTTTTACTTTCATCGAGAGAAGAGGAGACATATCGGCTGACTGGCTTCCTGAAGGCTTTGACCAACCGGCGTCATTTCGTCTCTCGGATTCCAGCGAGGAATAAGTTTGTTTTTATGTTATATATTTTGTTTTTGCTTTGAAGTTTCTTTAGTGATTGGATTGGTTATGCCTGATTTCGCTCTTTATCCGGTCTTTGGACCGGTAAGTAAGTGGGGAACTAGTTCACGGTGCGCGCTTTTTTCGTTTGTTACAGATTTATGTTAGGTAAAAATTCTTTTGCTCATTCGTTTTCACGCGTTGCAATGTTTGTCAAGAGGCTATTTTTAAGGCGAAGCGGGGTTAATACCGTGTGGTTATGAAACCCTTCAGTTTCGGGGCAAGATAGATTTATACATGCCAATTTATTTGTATCTGTTACAATACTAATTTTTTATCGTTTTAAAAGTTTACAGTAATTACTATTATGGGTTCAACTTAGTCTTATGCATAGGTTTCCATAGTCGTAGTTTGACTGTAGAGTCGAATTATCTTATCTTATCTTCCCCATGTCTCTCGGTTAGCAATCCTACAACATTTTTAATTCCTTTTAGCTCTGAAGCTTTAGACAACGATCTGAGTTCACAGAAGAGCATCTCTGGTCTCCTTAAACCACGCTACAAATTACACATTAAAGTCTTCAATGTCCCCACTCTCCGTCAAATTGAATAAAAAGCTTCATGGACCATGGATGTGTGCTGTGTTTGTGAGACTCGCATACAGGATCCAAGTTCTGTTATTCACTTAAACTCTCCCAGTCAATATGGCGGGTCCTCAAAATTCACCCTTCCAGTTTCTGGAGATTCGATGGCCAGTTCTCGCTTTATTGTAGATGTAGGCGTAGTATGAATCATCAGGTCAGAAAGCTCACTACTAGACTAGATTTCAGTTGATAGTCGCCTATACACAATCCGGCTGAACGGCACAATGAGGACTGAAAGGAATAGTGAAACTCGCCGTTGTCTCTTTGTAATCTCTGCTTACGCACCCACTGACTGTAGCTCGGATGAAGTGAAGGATGAGTTCCTTCGGAAACCGTCTAGCCTCCTTCTGAAGGCCAAACTTTCAGATGTTGTTGTTGCAGGTGATTTTAATGCACAGGTGGGTAGGCTAAGTCAGGTAGAAAAGCACTTAAGTGGTTTTTTCGGAATCGCAGCTGAACGAATAGTTAACTGTGATCGCCTTCTATAAGTGTACCCAGGTAACCGTTTATTTCTAGCTAGCATAAACTTCAGATATAAAGAAAGACGTTGTCTGACATAGTGTCCATCGCGCCCAACTCAGCGATGAACACAGATAGACTACATTGCTGTCATCGATGGCTGGAGAGGGTCGGTGAAAAACTGTCGCTCTTTCTGGAGCACGTGTTTGGATAGCGACCACGCGTTTTTTCCAGCACGTATATATCTTCATGTCAATGACGTAGAAAAACCTTAGCAACAAGACCACTAAGAGTGCAGCTCGCCAATGAGATCACTAAGACTGCTTTTAGTAGGAAAGTGGCTAGGCAGTTATCGGAACAGAAGACTACCACTCATCCAGTAAATGATACTGTTTCTCTGTGTGGCACTTCTAATAAACAGACTAAAATAGAATTACAATTTATACAGTGCCAGAGTTTTACTCCTATATACATCGAGAAGCTATGTGCCATCTCCGCTGTGAAAACACCATTGAAGACCATAACCGACTTTCAAACGGATATATATAACATATATATATACGTGGATATAGATATACGAATATAGATATATGGTACAAAAGCAAGTAGTGGCAATACACATGTTTTAACAGATCTAGCTGATCATACAGAATTCTAAAAAGAATTTATTGTTCAAAGATTTATTCAAGACTTCCCTTTAACAAGCTATGGGACACAGGTATACTTACCGCTGGCCGACGCTTACCATATTTCTTGAGCTGAAGTGGGTATTCAACTCTGTCGACAAAGATGACAAGTAGTGGTGCCCGCCTAGGATTCCAGCTGACACTATTCCTGTTTATTTTCATTATAGATGTACTAATAGACATAACCATAGGTACGTCTGACTTGACAGTTATTGATCTACTCCCTGCAGACCGTTCGGTTGACTTGGAATGCTCAGAAAACATTCTCCTGCTAGGTGAAGAGGCTGACAAAATGCAGGCTTTATTGGGCGCACTGAGTACGTGTGGCATGCATGTTGTAGCTGCTCCAGGACCAGTCTGCAACTACTGGTTAAGGGATAAAGAGTGTAATGGTTGAATGCACCGACCGCTTGACTGACTTTAGCGGTAGCACCAGCCGAAACGATCAGGTTGCTGAAAAAATTTCAGCTCAGATATAGAAGGCACGTTTCGCATTTGCTAGCTTCAGTTTTCTTCATGCCTATACTACTTTGGTAACTAGACTTTGTTTTCAGATTTTAGTTCTTGCTGTTCAGATAAGTTTATTCCGTAATAACGAGTTAAACTGAAAAGACACTGGTTTCACGAACCGATTTAAACTTAGTAACTGATCACCACTTATTTCTTTTCATACATTTAAGTTGTTAACCTTAAATTAATATCAGTTTGACAACTAAGGTTATAGCTGATTGTCTGGCTTAGAACTCGTTTGGCTATCGCATAAAATATTTTTAGGTGAGTAACTTGTCGAACATTGAATTAGGTAATATAGTGGATTGTTAGGCTACTAGTGTAGTCAATCGAAAAGTAACTAAGTCGTTTATTATTTTTTGCTTTTTTCTGTTCGAAGACTTCAGATGTTAATCTACTATATGCTCTGAGTCAACGTAATATCGATATACATGAAGTTAAGCGTCTTCTCAAAGAAGTAAGTATGTTGTTTACAAAATTCATCATTCATTCTGTGTTGCATGTTTAAGGTAGATACACCATTTTCACCAAACTGATTCATCTATTTTTTCGTTAGAGTTTTTCACATATCTTGTAGCAACTTAGGTTTTCGTAGAACATTGAAATCCATCACGGAGGTGGTCAACTATTTCTAAAGTTTTATATATATCAAACTATCTCTTGGGTGGGTCATGATTTATTATTGATCGTTAACTATCTAATAGTTTGCTTTTAGTTTTTGCAGACATTCTGGTAAATGTGTGTTATCACGTTTCAGTGTAGCCCTTCTAATGAGGTTTCTTATATATTTATTAACACAGAGGCGTATCACGGTTGTCAACAATTATAGTTCCAAATTAGTGTTGCATTGATGTGAGGTCAGATGAAGCGTTAGGACGCAGAAAAGTATACTGCTATGTGACACCTAATAAGGTGATTCGAAACTCATAATAAACTAGCAGCACGTTTAAGTTTTTATTCGGTGTAAAATCCCTGGACGAATATGATTAGCTTGTTATCATACCTTCTAAAACACAAGCTGGTCGTGTTTGTGTAAAGTATGGCGTAGCGGGACGTGTAAACCACTGAGCTTTACTTTGATTGCTGTAAGTGATTGGAGACAACCGACAGCAGATTTCGAACTGCTGATCGCTTGCAGCTACCTGATATCAATCAAAATGCGTCGCTTTGGTGGGTCTTGTTCCTTAGTGATCACTTTGCCAAGTGATTGATAGAATTCGGTCAGTACTTAGGAAAAGACAAGATGAAATTGGCTACTCTGTAGTGACCAATTAACGTAAAGTTGAGTTGTAAAGTAATGGATATACTCATATTGTTTAGGAAAGCATAAATATTCAGTGTTGTTCTCTGAAACTAATGGCTATATTGGAATAACCAATGTCAATGGTCACTATTCATCCAACTCCTAACAGCCGTTTTTCTAAATGTTATCGACTTGTTGCTTAGACGCCATGACTATCATATGGCGTAAGTCAAACTGTTATCGACAAGTAGATGATACACAAAACTTTTTAAAACATTTTGAAGAAACATTTGAGTTCAAACTTGGAAGTAACGTAGCCTTATGGAACTAGGCAGGATGCTTCCAGGATTACAAAAATACAAGATGGATACTCTCACATTATAGAGCTATAAAGTAGCCTTCTGTTTATATTCCTTCATCTTTCTTACTGATATTCAACCGAATGATTGATGGTGACAGTGATGATAATCTTCATGTAAAATTCATTTACTTAGTAGCAATTGAATGAAAATAGACTAAGAATTTCTGAATGTTCCTTATTCAATTGATTTCAGTGCGTCCGAAAAGACGACCTGCGCTTATACCTCTGGGCTACCAAATCTTTCCATCATCATATATTCCATGAAGTTTACTCTGTTTTAATTTTTAATTGCCGAAATATGACCTTCAATCATACTAAGTAATCACCCAAACTTTTAAAAGGTTTTCACCCTACCGCTATGAATTCGAGATATATAATAAAGATTAGACATCATGGTGAATGCCAGCATGATTTAAAGCAAAAAAAAGCCGCATCAAATGACACTACCCGAAGTAATGGTAACATATTTGAAAAATGCTGGATAACAAATAAGGCAATCCAATATCACATGCTCATAATTCTGTACTGTAAACATAATTATGGTCGGGAATAAAGTAGATATATTATTATTCTCAAGTGAATTAAAAATACTGTTAACTGTCATCGAAAGTGTAACTTAATTGTTGTAGTAGTCAATAATGAAATGCATAAAAGGGAGGCTAATGTTTTTCACTAACTCAGGTTTAAGATCTTGTGATGTTAGGCAATACCTATGCCACACAACTCGTAGATAAATACAAATCTGGTCCGTCATTTCAAAGCTTTTGATATGCGTATTGTTTTCAATTCAGTTTTCATCAATATACAATTAATCAGTAATATAACTAAGTAGAATTATAATCTATCTCGTCGGTTAATTGCAAACAAGAATATTAGTTGAGGAAGTGAAAATGTGATCGTTGAGAAACATGAATCATGCTGTGATCTTCATGGTATGCATTTGAGTAATCAATTAATTACTACTGTGATATGGAAAACAAGAAGTTAAACTGAGAGATCTCTCAACTAATTTATTCTCAAAGCTGTACACTCATATACCCATATCATATCCGAAAATTTGTAATTCTTCAGGAAATTCGAATAATTGATTATACCAACTGAAATAATAATTTATATGAAATATGGACAACATTTGACTGAATAGTATTGCAAATATTGGACAAAAAGTTGACATTGGATTATAGTTTATATTTATGTAAGACACAAAAAGGCTTGAACCAGATTTCCGTTCGGAAGGTTAGAATTATTGAATATTAACCACTCTCTGTTTTACGCAAGTATATACAATATCTAATGAAATAATAATGTATATAATTCTGGTAGTTGAGGACTTTACAGTCGAATGATAACTAAAAATAGTGAACTCAGACCATGAAGAGTTTGAGTACTCTAGAATAAATGAATTTTTTTTATGAATAAATTTAAAGTGAATGTATACATACAGTGATCATATTTTCAGGCTTTGATAATATTTTTAGCAAAATAACTGCCCGTGATCACATCAATAATTGGAATTATCGATTCTGAATAATTTCATTTTAGAGCAACTGTTCCCTTTGATAAATTTAAACAGCGCAATGAGAAGATGAAGATTATCTGAAACATGTGATGTATTAGCGCTATACATTTCGAACAATCTGATCACACACACTTGTCGAACTATTTATGTGAAAATTTACGAAAAAGGTCAATGAAGTTAAGTTTCCTACCAACTTCATTGACCTTTTTCGTAAATTTTCACATAAATAGTTCGACAAGTCCATGTGTGATCAGATTGTTCGAAATGTATAGCGCTAATACATGTTTCAGATAATCATCTTCTCATTACGCTGTTTAAATTTCATTTTAATTAACTTTTTCACATTACCAAACACTTTTTTTGTTTATTAGTTTTACTTTTTCCCGTTTGTTTTGTAAATCAAACATAAAGAACAAGATATTCAGCGAAGAGACTCTTTTCAACGAATTTATTTTCAAGCTGTACAATCGTATATATATGGTATTTGGAAAAAATTATATCCTGTGAGGAAAACTAAACACTATATGGTGATGACAATAATAATAGAGCGGGTGATGACATAGGCATTTATGATTATAATAACAATTGAAGTGCGAATGATAACAAATAGATTATGTAATATATGGAATGGTACATAGAGAGTATATAACTCAGAAGGGGGTGAAAAAATTGTTGAAAATGGTAAATCAATTAAGTATTATGTAATGGCATTAGACAAATTGGACAAGATGAAGTCAATGTTTTCTAAAAGGATTAAGACAATTAAGTGAAACAACACCGGAAACTAGTTGAAGTGAAGGCGATTATAATAACAATAATAGTGATAAAGGAAGGATACAAAGGTTAAATTAACAAAGTGGGAGGGGGAGCTAATGGGGTGGGAAAATGTTATGGCCATGATAAAGACAGTGACTGCACATACTTCTTTTGTACACACAGATCAGGTCTTAGTTCATGAATAGCTAAAGCCTCCGCTGTTTTAAGGAGTTGAAAACGAAGAGAACGTGGGAGGTTTGGGCGAATTTGATAAATAATTTCAAAGTCATCGTCTGGATTTGTTGTGTGATGGAAGTCAATCAAATGTTCTAGAATCGAACTTCTAACAGACTTTCTTTCACCTTTATAAAACCAAGCAGGAACATGTTCTCGTATACGTGTAGAAAGCATTCTCTGGCTACGGCCGATGTACCTTGCTCCACAAGAGCAGGTGAACTGGTAGATGCACATAGAGGCGGCCAAACGAGGAAGCTTGTCTTTAACGCAGGTGGAGAATAGGTTGCGGCTGGTAAAAGTCAACTGAGTCTTGCTGCGAAGAAAGTCCTATTGATTGATCTGGTAAGACGATTCTTCAGTACATCCGATGCTAGGTCTCCTTTAAACTCTAGGCTCATAAACAATCTTTTCTTTGAGACCGAGTGGATGACTGGTTTAGTGTTTCTTTCCCGCATATTTTTATCAATAAAACGGCTAGGGTAACCGTTTTCGACAAGTATGCTTTTTAAAAAGATAGCTCTTCATCGATACAATCGTCACTACAGATACTTCTTATTCGATAGCAAAGAGAGTGAATAAGATTTCTTTTTCTGTTGATGGGCACCCAACTATAAAAATTAGTTAGTTGTCCGTTCCACGTTGGTTTTCTGTAGATGGATCTTTTAAGGTATCCATTCTGACGTCGGGTGAGAAGCACATCAAGAAAAGGAATAGTTGATTCTGATTCCTTCTCTATAGTAAACTTGAGGGCTTGATGACATTCATTGAATGAACGAAGCACATCGTCGAGGTCTACATTTTTGTCGCAAATAACAAACGTGTCGTCCATATATCTTCTATAAAAGTCAAAGCTATCAATAGTTTGACGAAGTTGTGAATTTTCTAGTTTCGACATGAAGAAATCTGCTAGCAGTGGTCCCAATGGTGACCCCATCGCAATTCCATCTTTCTGTCTATAGATTTCATTATTGAAACTGAATTGGACATTAAATGTGCACCTCAACAAAAGCTCTTTCAAGCAGCTCGTTGGTAGTCCTACGTCTAAATTATGTGCATCAATATAGTCACATACATAACAGACAGTTTCGGTGAGTGGCACACTCGTGAACAATGAAGTGACGTCTAATGAAAACATCATCTTGTTTAGAGCATTAAAATCCTTAATACCCTCAACAAACTGAAATGTATCACGGATAGAAATCAAACATATCCTAATCCTAGTATCCGAAATCTAGCTAAACACTTTATTGCTACTATTTCATGTGATGAATACAAACTAACTCGTATGTGTTTATTGTAACTTCATTCGTTTGTAAAATCTCACCATACAATCAGTATCATTCATTAGTTTGTTTTACTAAAGTAATAAAGCCGTTCACAGCATCATCTATTCAATTAATAATAGGGTGCCAATCCAAACTGTATGAATGCTGCTAAAGAAACCCCGTTAATTTGTGCTGTACGTCATGGTCATGTTGAAGCAATATCTGTATTAGAAGAAAATGGTGCAAAAATTGATACTGCTGCAACATCGTAAGCTAAATAACTTAGTTTATGCATTTTAACTTATATATTTTTGTCTTCATTTGAATTATTCTCAACATATTTCGATTCGATGATAAGCCGTATTTCCCTCTCTCTTTTACCTATTCTTTATATATACAAAGTGAACTCTAGATTTTCGAAAGCTTCTACAAGTTTTCACTTTTTCGAATGTTCTCAATAACAGCTATAATTCTGTTTTCTTCAGACAACTGTATACAGATGACTTCCGTGTTAGATGGAGATAAAATGTTACTGTGTTGGCTGGTATTGCTCATAATTACAATTTTCAAGTTGATAGATTGTATTCAGTTCTATTGTAGCTTTTACTGATTCGAGACTGCTTGTACAACTAAAAATTGAAGACTATTAAACCGTTATTTTGTGCTTTTTTGGAATTAATGAACATCACACAATCATGAACCCTCTTGATGCACTCTATGGTGAAAATAACTCAATGAAATTTAAAAATATGTGACATTGTAACCCAAGTTTATTGAAGTTAAAAATTTCAGATTCATTTAGTCCTATACGTCAGCTTCATTGCTCTGCAAACTAGCGTTCTCATCACCTGACACTAGGAAATATAGCTAGATCTTTAGAAGGTAGTGTATCTATATCTAAAATATAACAAAACAAACGTTCAACACATTACGAGTTTTGAAATTCTTCGTACGAATTTATATTGTCTGAGAATGAAAGTCATACTAAAAAGTAATTCTTTGTTTCAAAGGACTTACCATACACTTTCATCAGTTGAAGAACCATTGAAAACCTGGCATCACTGAGCAGCTGTTTCATCTTACCTAGAATTTACCAGCATTGTACGCCTCGGAAACCATCCGAAGTCGAACACAAGACCGTTAGCTATTGCACCAAGTAAATAACAAATCAATCCCCGTACTGAAATTAATTAGTTCATGGCTCTTATTTTTTTCTTTGCATGATGTACGAACATGATCCGATGCCATCAGCTAGTATATATGCGTACATTCGGTTCGTTTGACCTCACATATGGATTCTCATTAGGACGTCGGGAAATTCACATCGAAACAAATCTCTGATAATCATCAGATTATATATATGATGAGCACACAGTATATTAAAGTCATTATTCAGAAAATGTTTGACAGAGTCAAGAACTTTAACAAACTGAATGCATAGCGTCCTACTCAAACGGTTATACGTGGTAATCACTAACAGTTTTGATTTAATGTCAACAGTCTTCGTTTCATTTGCATAGTTTCAACTGGAAATCCATTATTTATAAGTACTTCATACATTTATTTTCTTTGACAATAAACTGTATACACAGCCTATACCCGTCTGAAGGGTTGTAACAAATATGAAATTGAGTGTGATTCGTTTGTTTAAATCAATAAATTTACTCATAAAACGAACTGAATATCAGGTGATGTTCAACTCGAAAAAAGATACAAACAGAATGTTGGTCTAAGTAGTTAGCCTTCTGATGCTGTAGACTGTAGGCGCTGATTTTCAAAGCAATTATTAGGTTCCAAATGTACATACATACGTAATTATACGTTTGAAGATTGTGATCGAAACGGTAACACAAATCTTGTTATGAGACTGCGCTTGGAGTATTTCTAATGTGGTGGTGCCGTCACAATTTTATGGTACGGTTCTACTGTCAAGATATCTTATTATCCATCCTCTGTTATATAACAAATACTGCTGAAGTATGTCACTGAAACATTTACCACCGGCGCCTTTTACTGAGAATATACTGCCATCAGGATGTTCATATCTTGATGTATATATGTTTATTTTATAATGTACGATAAGCTTGCTTAAGTCCTCATATGAAACCCTAGATCCCTGAAGCCTTTAACTACCAATCCTTCTGAAGCGGTTTCGAGAAAAGGCTAGTGAACCTACGCGTAAGTGCCAGATTGGTTGAAGAGACAAAATCAATGGAATATATCAACTGGCAACGGATACAGAAAATGACAACACTTTCCAATGAAGAATTTGAAGCTTTTATGCAGTGCTATGAAGAAAGGATGAAAGCGACAGCACTGAGTTTTATTGAGAAAGTCAACCAAATGCTATGTGCCATTCAACCAGCATCTACATTCGTAAGTCCTTAGATGTCGAAAGTGACTCTCAGTAATTACCCATATCACAGACATAGTGAAGATGAAAACGAGTTTAGAAAGTCTTTTCATATTGATCATGGTATATTTATCGGTGAGAATGATAGTAACCCTTCCATTATCAATCAGGAGAGAATAACTGGTCGACATTTGATCAGATATAGGTGATGAAAACAGTGAAATACTTGCCGAGTATCCGCAACATGACGCTTCATGTTTAGTGAGACCCAGCCCTCCTAAAACTAAACATCTCACTGAATTTTCAATGAAATTTCTCGAACACCAGTGGAAGTCCAAGCGTCAATGTCTACAAATACGAAGATACTCAGGAAGCTTCATAATTCATTCATGTAGACCAAATGCAATAGCTGCTTTGCATGATGGTGAATTACCGTATCAATGATGATCTATTTCTGTACGGGCAACTAGACACCATAATTGTACTAAACCCATCTTTTATTGTTTTCAATTGATAAAAACTGAACTTCTAGATTACCATAACAAAAGACTAAGCAATAATGATCATTAGAAGTAAAATTTATGTTACCTGTGTTGTAACAGTATTCATGTCTTTTATATGTTTTTTTCTTGTTTTCTTTTGTCAGAATTGGTAACACAGCACTACACGAAGCTGTCCTACGTGGTATGGACGGATTGGATTTAGCTAGGGAGCTATTAAGGCAAGTTTTCAGTTACAAATATAGTCTAAATCCTAGGTCGATGAGTTGGTTAGTGTCAGTTTGTACATCTTGTCTGCCTTATTTGAAACAATAGAGGTCTATCCATGAGTTTTACCTGTATCATACACACAATACACTTTAATAGACTATTAATTTAATAGCATTAAGGTAGATGTTTAATGCTTAAAATATTGGTATTCGTGTTAACTTACATGGATATCAATCAGACATTCAATATTAACATGGGACTTTGCGTTACTATTTGATTGTCTAAGCTGCAACTCCTCAAATCAGCATATCGAGATACACAAGCAGTAAAATGAAAAAGTGAAGTAAAATAGGGTCTTTTGAACAGAGACCGAATATCGTAACACAAGTCGGACTAAGGAGTCTCCTGCAACAGTTTCAATCCGCGTAAAGTTAGGCAAAAGCAGGAAGCGAGAGAGTGGACATAGTTGGCAGACACTGCTACCCTCATATGTCACCACTGGCTTTGGCAGGCCCACAGGTGTTCATACACAGAGCCTTTAACAAAGCGATTTACTTACCCGGCACTCCTTTCGGTTAGAGACTGCCATAGGACGTCTAAGTTTCTATCAGAGTTGAAGGCCCTACCTCAATATTCAACTCAATATGTGACTGCCTAGCGGACAGCGGAATAGTAGCTGAAGTTCAGTTTAACTGTCGCTTGAAGTGTTACACGCATCCTCCAAGTTATCTTCTCTGTGAGTGGATCACAGACTCATTCTTCTCTGTTAACGCCTCACTGAACATTGACCTTTTTGTAACGATTTCTTTAGTCAGTGTTAGGTGAAGTTCTCTATTTCTTTAGCCTCCTCTGCTGACAACTGCTCGAAACCATCGCGAAGACTTCCTGTGAATCTCCATTTCAGCTACTTCCGCTCCTCATTATGCTAGAGGTCTGCAGCACTGTGTTCACGTGCATCCACTATTCAGAAGGATCTGGTGAGATCCACTAACCATTTCTAACCTTTTTCTGAGGGTCAGTTACAGCCTTTTACTCTGTTTTCATAGTAGAATGTAGATGGTGTTATATCTACGTACGCCAACGGTTATATATACTTTCCGAATAATAGGATACGCACGCTTATCTGACAGCCAACCTTAGTACGCAAGAGTCACTGACTGCAACCCCGGGACGAATAGAGAGAAGACCGAAGCTGGATGATGAAAGAGTGTGTATTACTCCGAGAATATAATGACAATTCAATCCAAAACACGTGAATAAGTATACACATTGGAGACATTTGCATAGTAAGAGTAAAGACTAACCAATTAGCGATTTACATTTCAATGGGGCAGAAAGTAGACCACTAGTCATACCGTAAAAAATGGTGTAGGAATGACACGTTAAAATGTTCAGATCAATAACAATGTTTGATACAAAACTGGTGCCTTACAACAGATGGCACCAGGCTTCTTCAACACGAGTGAATTTGTTCTGTTACACTAACTGTCCAGCCAGACTTTTATTGAAATCAGGCTTAGTATTCTCACCATCGAGCTGCGCTTGGGATGGTCTTGCAGCTGTAGTTTCCCCACATCCATTTAGTTGCAGATTTAGGCATTTTTGGAAATGAACGCGAATATTTCATGGACCTTCTTCGATGGTAACTGATAACAATGTGGTCTATCTGTGTCCACCCGTTGGTCGAGGTGTACTCCACGTCAGAAAATGTTTCTCTTTATTTCTGAAGTTCGTACTGGCCGAAGCTAGGTAGTTGACTGAGTCTAGCTGTAGTTGATAATCCTCGTTATCCGTCAAACAATTGTGTTCGTGACCAAAGGTACTGTAATTTTGGTTAGCGAAGCTTTTTGTCTGATTTGTTGAAGGGGTGTTTAGAACTTGAAAGTTCTAGAACATAGTTTGAAGCGCAGTTTCGTGAAAAAAAATTTCAACGGCTTCAGAGCTAAACGAAACTAGAGGCGACGTGGGATTATCAACAAAGCCGTATGAAGACTAGAATGCAAACATCTGGGAGGTTAATGCCTATTATTAGGGAATGGAATGCCGACAGAGTTGTGAGGGTTACTCAGCACTTCCTGACTAACTACATCGGGAAAGTTTACTTCTTGAAAAAGAGACTAGATCAGTGACATTGATGTCTGACCACAAAGTCCCAGGGACGTCTGCTTGAGGCCGGTCACATAAGGCCTTTTTGGAAGCTTTGGTTGTTTTAAATCTGGTTATAAAACCCTATCACAGGGATGGGAAGAGTGTCATATTTTGGGGGTCAACCTTTTCTAACCGCCCTTTCCAAAGGAAGAAGGTGGCATTAGCAAGGACTGCTAGTAATCTGTCAGTAACACTACTGCTATCACATTCCGTGCAGCCATCAGTACGAGTTCACCCCAAGACCCCTCCATAGGGCGTAAGCTGTTTTATACTGTGACGGTAACTATGTTTAGTCTTACAGCTATCGAAGGAATCTTTCTGGCATGGTACGATTTCAAGGAACGTTGTTCCAACTGGCATACCTTCTTGGGTTCATCATGATATGTAAATCTAACTACCACGTCGAAGTAGTACCTACTGTTCAGTATACGGATACTTTTAAACTGATCTGATAAGACTTTGTAGCAAATATTATTGCAAAGGGTTTGAACTGTCAAATTGAATGTACTTATCCTCCACTAAGATGGTGCGAAAACGCTGTTGTCCTACCCCTCGTTAGAGAAAAATCCAGCAATCGTGAGCATTGTCGAGGCATTCATACAAGGAGTTAATATGCCTACAAAGGTTTATCACTTCTTTTTTATAAAACAACATAAAAAAGGACCAAAAACTCTAATGACAACTTTCACTTGTTAACCCAGAGATGGTTGTCCTAAAGTAGTAATCTAATACATAAGGTTATGGGATCTGAACGACCGAACTGGTCAACCTGTGGGTACATTATAGCTCCAGACAAAATATTTCTCACTACTCTGTGGCTGAATTTCTGATGATGTTTGAAAGTCTACATTGAAGAAATCCAAAACTTGCGTTTCCTTCCATTATGGGCTGACGTCCTAGGTGTTGATGTCGTTGCACCCGTGATATCGAACTTTAAAATATTTTATCCTCTGTGTTTCACAGGAGACAACGCATATATTATTACGACCATTATTATTACAATAATAATCGAACCATTCAACTCCAGGTAGTTCATGAACAATATTTCTGTTGCTTCAGTTGAAAGGCTGTGACTTGGAGTTCACTGAACTAGTTCAAAACTCAGGTATTACATCCACCGATAGCAAATAAGGACGGCCTCTTCAAATATGCTAACTACTGAGCAAGTTGTAGTATGCTGGCTTAGGTACCTGATGGCTGCATGACCAATCATACAAAGTAGTGACGACATACACAGATGGAGCGGACCTACAACTACGCATAAGTTTTAGTTATTCACGAGTTTACGTATAATGGTAGCGAAAGATATATTTTTGAAAAACTTTTTTAACAGAATTTTCTACTGTTTTGACTAAGTACTAACTGTGCGTCGTTTCTGTTTTACTTAAAATCATACAGTTATAGAAGTAACTTTCGAGTCTAATCGTATTAATTTATTTTGTCTCATACTTTTTTCTTTGTGTAATTAATTACCATTTAGATGTGGCGCAAATATGAAGGTAGAAAACAGTCGTAAAGAAACTCCTCATTCCATAGTACTACGTTCGAATTGTGAACCATTAATTCGACTATTTGCTTTACATTTAGGTCATCAGCAATTGAAAGAATTGACTGAGGATACTGATAATCAAAGTGATCTAAAAGTGAACAATAGTCTGGAAATAATATAATAGTTTTCCCCGTGATGATGGTGTCATTTAAACTGTACACCATGCCAACATATATTTACGTTTTTACACCTTCATTACTGTCTTATCATTTATTTCTTACATGTTAATCCAACTCACATATCTATTAGGAAAACAGGAGATGTAAAAATATGCAGTGATTGGTTTTTATCTCCATACAAAGTATTTTCGCTTTGAAATAATTTTATCTTGAAAAGAAAGAAAGAGCAGCTTTCTGTTAACTGATCTAAGGCAGTTCGACGAATAAATTGTACCGTATATCTGTCTTATGAAATGTTATTGATAAAATTATGATTTCCAATAATTTATAGTTAAGCTAAAAACCTTCAATCAATATTTTTAATAGAATTCAGTGGGTTAGAAATGGATAGTTCAGAAAAGAAAATTGAAGTAACAAGTTGTACCTCCCACCGCCATATTCATGTGCCACCATCTTACTCTGAAGTCAAGAAGAGAGGAGGCTACTAATTACTGAGCAAAATGTTTTATTACTTTGAATATAACATAACACTAGCTAGATTGCTGCATAAAAAAAAACTGAAGTCAAGCATAACCTAGGTTAATTCTCACCGACAGATTGAGACTGCTTGAGTTCATGTTTCTCCAAATATATGAAACTGAAACGGTCCGATTTTCCGTTAGTTCGTAATGTATGGTGACCGCCGTCAAATGTCATCGGTGGGAACAGCACCATCTACTCTATGCCTTGTGATCTGGCAATAGATACTATATGACACTATAACACAAGTCATTAATAGTCAGTGGATAACTACTCACTTGAGAGGTTTTCGTAGAGCTAATTGATCTGACCTTAGTATTAATTGAGAATAAAAATAAGTTAAGTCAATGTATATAGGTGTTCATTTTGATAGAAACTAACCAGCCTGAGTATGACAGAGAAGATAGTTGCACAAGGAACCCTGAAACTATCAGATTTGAATACTATCCACACTCAGTGTGGTCTGATGCCGAACATAAGACTAATGACATTTAGATCGCAGATAACTTTCTTACCCCACAAGTAAGTTCATTTTTCAACTTTCAGAGATATTTACTTTACGCTAAAAACGCATCCCTAAACGTATACTTCCTCATAATTAAATACTGAAACGCTTAACAAAAGCAACAAAAACTGCTTCGATAATAATATAGATAATCTTAGCCTATCTACTTTTAAAATATTCATCACACTACATTTCACTGAAAATAGATAAGACGAAATCAGATCGACTTCGCACGGGAGTCTATATTCATAGGTGGTTCATGATGAAAACATGTTTTTCAAGGAAATAGGCAACTAGTATAAATTTTGAGTCTCCCAATTCGGAATAAAGCCAGAGAAAGATAAGGAACAATAACTGCTCTTAACTTGTTCTATATGATATACTATAAGAATTAGGTCAGGAGAAATATACAGTTGCAGAGATTGATATGTGCTTGGTATTCGGTCCATAAACTTATCGAAGCAGTGATTGTCCCATGAAAAACGTTTGCATATCCGCCTACAGTACGACTCATGACAGCCCTAAAAATCAAGAAATACGTTGAAAAGCTTGTAGATTTCCAAATGGATAGAAAAGCTATATATATATGATTGATATTCACACCTCCGAAATACTAAAGATGGTGGGGAGGAGATGAAATTAGAAAGCAAAATATAGTCAAGTAACTACCTTCATTGTAAAGAAATATCATAAATAAAAGCTTACTTAGATAACAATACCAATAAACTGCTAGACTTCTTTACCTGTTTTCTTGAGCTTAGTGGGGCTATTCAAGATAAACCAGTTCAGCCAGCTAAATTATTCGCATAATCATATGTGGTAGAGTCGATACAACAGTTATCAATGTTAACTATCTGTGGCCCACTGGTTTAGGGAGGGTGCACCATCTTCAATTTTTTAACGCAACAATTATTTTCTCGAGCATAAAACTGCTTGTTTTTTTCTCAACGTACTCTTTGCACTTACAGTTTAACATATATGAGGAAAAAAGTATAGTAATGTAACCTGATTAAGATGAAATAAAACAAATCAGTGGCTGATGGCTCCACATATATGAAGCAGTAGAATTCATGATCCGAATACCCTTGGCAGGATTTGTAAACTCAAGAAATGACAAGCACTGATACAATTTGCATAAGAGGTGGCTCTCATGACTTAGTGACCTGCTGAGTGGCGTTTGAAGCGATGAGTGCTGGATTCCAGTCTCAACATGAACATAACACCTCAATGGCACGCATCCATATCCAGCGGACGAGTTTCAAATGCGGTGAAACGTGCGTTCTGGACGCCACTGCTAGGCCCCACCAAGCAGATAACGTGGTGATGCAGTTAGACTAAGGCTTATTCAGACCCAATGGAAATTTGAATTTACGGTCTTCCTCTATTTCTTCTGGTCCGTAAATTTTAAAAATCCGACTAGGTAAACTTCTCAACCATTCGCTAAATGATCGATTAGAATTCCTAGTTCCTAAAATTGCTTTATACATTGTTTCGTCCCCACACAAAACCCTTACTTCTATTGTTTAAACCAACCAATCAACAAGATCACTTGTATTCTCTGAAATCTTTCTTAATGAATGCAGTTGTGCTCAATTCTAAACTACTGGGTAACAAATTACGAAATTAATATAAACAGAGCTGACAGGGTTTTCCAAGAATTAACAACAATCTTATACGAATAACAAAAAGCTTACTACATGCATTCGTTTTTTGAAACAAAACGGATGACATAGGCACTAAAACTGAGAGACTACTACCCTCCTTTGTAAATATAACGCACTTGTATCCAAAACATTTCGCTAAATCACTTTCCACATAAGCATTTTTTGTCACCATAATTCATTCCGCCGCTCAACATAATACAATGTTTACACTACACTTTCATGGTGAAAAAAAGACTTTCTGACACAGATAATCAAGCATATGAAGTACAACCCAAAAACACATTAGGCTTAGTAATTACCATCTACAGATTCGTTCACTAAGTTGAGGAGCATAGCTACTGCGTGAAGGCAGGTGAGCTATTTTGACTGAAATAGATAAAAGGACCTCCCAGCTATATTCGTATACCTAGATCACCGAACTGAGGATTCGAACGTAAGTATTATACTTCAAATAACTTACGTCAGTATTCCTTTTCTAGTCTGAATTTATTTTTCCCGAGTAGTGGATCAGCAAAATGGGTTGTATGTGGCAGCATAACAAAAATGATTAACAAAAGTCTGAGCTATATGCTCCTAGACAGTATAATATTCATATTCAAAAAATATTTTCATCAGCTTGCAGTTAACTGACATTGTGCAAATAACAACAGACCTGTGATAACAAAAACTGTTGCCTCATATAGCCTAGGTTCATACTTACTTAATTCGGAATCCTTAAACGACTGATGCTGATGAAACGAAAGAATAGCCTATTTTGTAATGTAGAAGTTAGGTTTTGAAAGAACAATCAGAATATGTATGACATTTAGGGGGCTAAGACTAAGAAGGATATCTGTTAGTTACTTCACGCGCTAACAATTAAGGTACTTCTTTAATTTCATGAGACACAACATTAAATTAATAAACACTAAGGCAGTATAAAAGTAAAATTTATTTTTACATCTGATAACGCCATGGGAAGAACTTAACACGAGCCCTACGTAATCTGATGTCCCGCATGAATAGTTGGTGTTAGTTAAGACTCTGATCTTCAAAAAGCTTCTGTGGAACCTCATCCTGGAAAATACAACAGAATTGATTTCACAGCCTACTTCTTGAATAATATCTTGTGCATCTATCACAGAAAGGATTTCTTTCGCTCCTGTTTCTTGAACTTCACCAGCTAGTAAGTATTCATCCAATACAAAGTACGCCTTTTCAAAATGAAAGATTATATCTAATTCACAGACCTTAAAGTAATAAGATTATGTAAAACAAGAGGTTACATTCCCAAAATATTTATCTAAAATTTCCACATAACGATGTATAATCTCCAAAGTAATCAACTCATTATCAGTTTGGTCGATGGCACATACGAAATAAAGGCTTGCATATCTGTGAAAGGAAAGGGATTAGCCTTTCTTTAGATCCACACACCTTCGATAAACTATCTTTAGATCTTGCCATTCAAGAAAAGAACACATTTTTGGTTTCCTCGCAAACACAAGGGATATGATTTCACGTAAATACTTTTTCTTTTCTTTTTCTGTATAAGAGGAATACCATTTTTGTAACCGTACTTTCCCTTGACGACTAAATAGCAACAAGAAGTTAATCTAAATAATAAATGCAACGAATAGCATAATAAAACGAACCATGCCGTGAATACAGTGTGCACGTTTTGGACTGCAGGTAATCTAGAGATAAATGTTGCACAAAAGCATCTAAAACGAAAAACAGTTCATTATTTAGTGGTCAAAAAGCGGTAGTAGAACGACTTTCCATCACATTTTTATAAAAGATATAAATAAACTGCTTTTGGCGTTTAAAAACGAGGCTTCTCTATTTAAAAAATGTTGAGAATGAAGGAAACGAATGGTTAGTACTTTGGCTATTCATGTGTTATTACAAAAGTAGTATACTTGATTTCGTAAAAAGAACCATAGAAGACTGATGGGTCTTATTTAAATAAATAACCGCTGTAGATACAACTTGAATAGCTAAAATTAGCAGACACACGGTTGGCTATGAAACCATGCCTTAGTGGTTGCAGGGCCACAGGTATGTCAAGTCAATAAAGTCAACTTGGAACGTCGCACAAAAGTGCATCAGCTCAAGTTGCTACAATTCATAGCAGTATACAAAGAACTAGTGAACAGGAAATTGATATTAAAGTTCACAAAAGCGTAAGGGAGGAAAGAGAATTTAGAAAAATGAAAGTTGATGAACATATTTCAATAGTATAAGACGCCGAAAAGTGAACACATCTGCCCACTGAAACTAATTTTCAGCTATGTCACCAAGGATATCCAATCATGAATTCCCGTAATCTAGGGGACCCCATCCAGACAGTCTACACTTCTCTTTATGACCCAGACCAACACTCAATGACTTCATGGACTGATGCAATATTTCGTTCTTGCAACCCTGAACCTTCTTCCAGTCCAATCCTAACTTCATCTAATACCGCAATTCAAGGTAGGCCGTGACAGTGTCCCCAATCACTACAACACGAGCTAAAGGGCATCGACCAAATATTCCTGTAATCTCTCCATGCTATTACATTGATCGGATGTGAGCTTTTGCAAGGTAGAAGGAGTTCAATAAAAATGTGGAACGCTAACTTATTGTCACTCATGCCAGACTTTCAAATAATGTGGGCATCAGATGGCGAAATAGTTTTAGAAAATACTAGTTCTAGTATGTCATCATCACGTGTTGCTGAAGATATGTTTCGACCAACTCGTAGTATGTAGTAAGTGAAAGAACTCATCAAATCTTCAACCAGAAGAGGCACCAGTGAGTACTGGCAATATTGAAGTCGTCGCAAATAACCTTGTATTTGGGTGAAGAGTTAGAAGCAGCTGCGAAGTCCTCGTAGATACTTTGATGGGACTGATTTTGCGTAGACATTAGGTAGTACACAACTTGGGGATTGATATTTTTCAAGAACGAAAAAATGAACCCACGAGAAGTCATACGGAGACGACTCTTAAAAAACGCTTAAGGTTCGAGTGACAAATAAGAAATACGCCAACACGTTTTTTTTCAAAGCAAAAGATATTTGTTCATTAAGATAAGAATCTGGTTCACTTCGTGAGGAACAAGCTTCTGCTATGAACAAGGGAGAGGATTTATAAATTGAAAAGAGAAAACGAAGTCAAATCATTTTTACTGGAGCGAGCATTTATTAGCACAAGATTAAATTGAGATTGAATCTGAAGGACAGTGTTTCAGAAGACCGTGGGTTGGGAAACTGAAGTTAGTAGTAAGCACAATACACTCCTTCAGAAAATTAAAGTTAGGTTCCAGACCTAAACTTTTCGATGAGTCCCGATGAAAATAATCTCAGCAATCATATGGTGACAGGTAAGAGTTAGTAATAAATATAGTTAGAGTGATTATAAGAATCTAAATGAGACGATAGCAAAAATAGTACGTTAATGGGGCTCTACGTAGCATAGGAAAAAAGGATTGTTTTGTACGATTAACAGGCTTGCTTAATACAGTTTCAAGGGAAGAGGAATTAGAGTTAATGGAGCAATTCGGCACGTCATAACTGTCACACATTTGGGAGTGAAATAGACGACAAAGATATGAGTGTTAGAGAACGAAGGGGTATATATATATTTATATATATACCTCGTCATGAAGAGCAGAGAAAAATCAGAAAAGTAGGGAGCAAAATAACGTTTAACTGTATAAATCGAAAAGATATCGAATGATGTCTCGTATGTGTGTGTGTCAGACATTACTTCTATACTACATCCTACAAAACTTGTTGAAAACTTGTGGGGTGACGCTTTTCCGAATTGGAATTGATACTCGATTGCAAATAATGCTGTACTTTGTGGTAAAGAAGTATGACTTGAATTTAGTATAGCAGCATGCTACATTGACAGTAGAAGCCTGATGTCTGAGTTTGTGTTTTTTTGGGAGTGCTACGCCAAAGGTCGTCGTTGGGGAAATATACCAACCCCTAATAATCCCGAAGATGATGCTCAGGTTCAACTTCGGTCTTTTAAACCATAAAAGTTCTAAGTTAAATGCTTCACATCTGTTGTCAAAGGAAATGCCAGTTCCCTTTTTCCCTATCCGCTTAGTAAATCTTCGTCCCACTGCTTTCAGCTTAAGCTTGTCCTTTATTGAAATACTGTCAATTACGTGAAAAAAAACCCAAGTAAAGGATGAATGCATAATTTGTGAAAGATAACATTAGCTTCCTAAGTCCCAGTTCCAAAAAAGAAACCCAATGAGTTTCCTGTCCTTGGAAATCTGCAAGTCAACGTACTCCGTACACCTGAAACACAGTGAACATCTTAATAAGTAGGAGGATGGGAATAGGTTTGTCGTATAAGGTGACCAAAACTTCAAGTCAGATGTGCTCAGACAATAGCACCCTATACTTGTCGGAGTTTTCCACGTATTGAAATCGATTGAAGTCCTCTTCGGTCCAGATGAGCTACAAAATATTTTAATGTCAAATAGGAAAGATCTACCATTCAGTATGATACCACATCACCAAAGTACAAAAGAAATAAAAGTGATCCGATACACTGCCTTGTAAAAACCCCACTGGTGATTAGGAGTGGTTTTGAACTTTGACCACTAACCTTAACTATTTCTGAGAAGTTGCTGAGGAATAACGCTAACCATTTAGACAGCAAGCCTTGTGGTCCATATGACGCCACTTTGGATATTAGCATTTTGTGACTCACAGTGTCTCAACAGCCTTGCTGAGGTCAAAGCATACTATTATTACGGCCATTAAAGCGTCTTTCAGTAGTTAAACAAAGTCAAAAAGTTTTGTGTGACAGGCTGTACAGGAACGTAGCTTTATGAATATATGCTGCAAAACAGCTCCAAGTTTACCCTGGAGGAGGAATTGAACAGCAGCTTTTTAACTAGTTTTACGAAGACCCTTGGCTATCTGAACTCTTTATTGAAGCAACGGCGTCCTTGATATCCTCCAGAGAGAGAGAAATATAGTTTATGAATCATTCATGTTGCGTACGTAAATCATTTATACGCTAAGCGTTCAGAAGATAAACCGTCTCTATGTCACAAACCATACCGTGATTTTGAGTAATAATTGAGGTAGACTCCCAGATTACTCACAGTAAGGTCTTCCACTCTATATCTCACCAGGTATTTGTGCCCAAACCCCGGACTCTTCGCGATCCAGTACTTTAACTTGTGCACCTGGCCTCACAAACAATTAATATTATTTCTGAGAAATGACTATCTAGCTTTGCCACATCTGTAGATGTGCACTCTTCACACCGTTGATCAGCTTCCTGTGATAGCCAATAGCATTATGTGCAATCAATCAGTTTGTAGTGTCAAGAAAAATTAACATTTTCTGCTTCGATACTACGTGAACTTCATTGCTCTTTTTAGTTGACAATCAGTTCTACCTTCAGACTAGTAGACCCGTTGAAGCTGACATACCAAAGGTAAGATTTGGTCACATATTTTTCAACGACACGGAGTTAGCCATTCGTGTACCCCACAGACCCAGCAAAAATGGTCTGAACCAAGTCTCGTGACATCTTTATTCTAATAGCAGTGAGCCTTGGAGCTTCTCTCCGGTAGTACATTCTTTTGTGAAGTTGTTCATCTGTACTAGGATATTTCGGTATTTCGAAAGAACGATTTGGGCACCAGCAGCATCCCATCACATCTCGACACCTGGTTAAGCTCTACATGTTGACGATATGTCAGAAAAAGTAGTGTCTCCCAATCTACATCCTGCCAAACAAGCTAAAATTGAGCGGAAAAACCCATAACTAATCACAGCTGATCAAAATCCCTAAATATTCACATGTTTATAAGTGTAACGCTTTTTCTGCTTTTCCAGGCATCACAAAAGGTATAGTGAAACTGGAGTTTATTGCACAGATGTTTAGCCTTATGCACAACAGTATTGTAATTTCAGAAATTCATGCAGTTATTGTTAGATAATAGCTACAATAGTGAGGAAATAATCTTGAGGGCTTTAAAAGATAGAGTAAGGAATAAAATGCTAAAATTGGAGACTTTTGTTTACGAAGTAGGTTTCGATAAAGTGGCAGACACTGAAATCTGGCTAACAAAGGATTTAGATTTTACTCAACTTCTTTTGGGATAATAAAGTATTAGGATGAATAGGGTTCTAAGTCGCACATGCGATCAGTCACTTCAGAAATATACGAATACCGTACATGAGAAGTGGACAGTTGTAAGCGGAAGTCAGAGCAAGATATCTTTACTATCAACGTAATTTGCTGCAGACCAACTTGCCTCCCAAATAAGTTCGTAATGGCTCATATATCACAAGCAGGAAGTGGAAATCGAAATGTACTCAGTGACCTTGCGCGCGCATTCACGCAGCAAGCAACGAGTCACACCTATTGTGTGAGGACTAACAATACTACCTGCCTGTCCAAACCTCGGAAGGTGGGGTGATGTTCAAACCTGCAACCTACTGGTTGAAAGTCATCTCCCTAAACCAATTAGCCACAGCACCACAGTAATTTATATCAGAAACAGGGGTAGGAGCAATAGATGCCTAATGGTCACAGACTTGAACACTCCCTGTATAAGCTTTATGAAATTCATAGTCAGCCTCAAGTATTTGCTTCAAGTCAAGATTAAGAGTACAAGTCGTCATTATTAG